CCTCTTCGCTACGGTATGAATACACTCTCATTTCTGGGGGGGGGGGGCAGGTGGCGACCGTACTTTCCACCTGGCTGCAGTCAAGCTAGGATCGCAATAGGAATTTATAACAAGCACACAAAATGCTTCTAGAGGTCTAATTGAAAAGGCAAGGCCCGTTGTGAGCTCCCTGGTAAAATAACAAAATATAGCACATGCACTACAGAAGCTGAGTTGGAGTCCGAGAGTATGGCATACCTTGAACTGCGGTGTCTCTGCCGACTGTGGCAACCAGACAACACCAATGGTAACACCACCATACCGGTCGTAGAAGAAGAGAGCCACGTGGCCGTAAGACGCCTACAGGAACACAGATAAACAACACCACATGGTGACACGAACAGTTTAAAAAAGTAAATTATCGTGTCCGTTCCCGAAGGGAACTCACGACGGCCGGTAACGCCTGGTAAACACCGGCGGCAGATGCAGCGCCTAATGGTGGGGGTGAGGGGATACGTCTCGCAAGAGTCGCTAGTGACAGAAGTATATCAGAATTAGCCAACAAAGATCCCAAGCTGTGGAACTGCAGTGGACACCGATAGTCATGCAGCGTTAGCACTGGGAGTGCCCATTGTTGCCCTGTCACTCTTTGTTTCCGTTCTTGTGTTATGAAGATAGAGAACTCCTTTCCCTTGTTGTTTGCCATCAGTCACACCGATGATTTTTTCTTTCTTTATATCTGGCTTGCAAGTGTTGAGTTTCGGAGAGAAAGAGCATTACGTGGCATGTGGCCTCAAATTTCCTAACACTTTGAAAATTCTCCGTGAAGTCCAAATTTGAAATTGCAGTTTGCCATCAGCTTAAAGTTTAATACCCCCCCCCCCCCCCCCCCCAGTTTCGCCTTCCAGTGCTTTCGAGTGTTGTCTCCTTTTGCCTTTGTAATTTCTCTAGCACAGAAGAGAGAAGGAACAGTACACTGGTAACGTTTCTTGAGTTAAAGATGGATTTTCAGGTTTAGGAAAAACGCTCAGCTCTATTCCCAGTTGTTACAGTATTATCATGACAGTCTATGCCCATAGACATGCCAAGAAGCAGCAGCAGCAGCACAGCATACCTCTAGCTGGTCAAGGTACAGCTTGACCGGGTCAAAGCCAGCAACGGGCAGTTGCAACGGACCGGACAGAAGGTCATCCGCTTCCACCTCCACCGCCTGCTGCTGTGACCTGGCCAGCGACTGGTAGAGGTGCGGAATGTGACGGCTACGCAGGTGAATCAGAACGTGGAAGTCGTCGAGTGATGGACGAAACATCACCTGCAACAGATGTCATATGAGAGAGGGGATGGAGAGGAGAGGGAGAGAGAGAGAGAGAGAAAGAGAGAGAGAGAGAGAGAGAGAGAGAGAGAGAGAGAGAGAGAGAGAGAGAGAGAGAGAGAAAGAAAGATGAGTACGACATGGTCAAATCGAAATAAATCTTCTATCAGGTAGCAGTGCTTGCCTACACATACACACGCATACAAGTGTGCATGCACATACTTATGAGGTACCCCCCCCCCCCCCCCCCCCCCCACACACACACACATGTGCGGGATAGATGAGCACTTACTCGTCGATCACATGACGCAGTTGTAGACATTACTTGATCTTCCAGACCAGACATGGCCTGCTGAGCTAGCAACTGACAACGTCGAAGAGCCTACAATGCAAAAAGGAAACAAAAAGATAAAAGTCAAACACAGATGGTGAACCAAAAGTAATCAAGTATCAGAGAAAGGGCCACACGGGCAGGCACAAGGGAGGTTTACAGATTTATGGCAACTCAGAGTATCTTGCACAGGGCAATCATCAGGTGACTTATGACAGGTTCAGTGGGACTTGGCCAATATAAAGCGTACTGTATAGATATAACGAAGTGCTAACTCTAAAGAGTTAACGAGGAGAAATCTGTCGTTAAAATGAAATCGTTATACAGAAATCGACACATACACTTTCCTATTGAGCGTTGAGAATGAGTGAGAATCGTTACCTTTGGTACACGTAAACTAGTCAATTTTGGGAAATCGTTATATGCGCCTCGTTAGAATAATGGCTTTTACGGTAGTTTGGTGATAGCTTGTGGGTATTTGATTCAGCACAGCAAATGGTGCCATGATGGCCGTGTGGATGGTCAATTGGGTGAGGGAGCAACATGTATAAGCGCAGAAAGTATAGATTGTTAGTGAACATACCGGTAGAAGTGGAAGGTGTGAATTTTCTGTGCTGAATCAAATACCCAATAGCTATCACCAAACTTTGCTTTATATCGGCCAAGTCCCACTGAACATGTCATAAGTCGCCTGATGATTGAATTGTGCAAGATACTCTGATGAGTCATTTGACTGGAGATAACATCCCTGGGTCCTAGCTGTACTGGTGTTCTGAGGCAGGCAGTCGTCTTATCAGAGTGGTCGCCTTGACCGGTTTGCTGCACAGTCTTGCAAATAACAAGTTCGGATACTGTAAAAGCAGAAATTTTCGATGGTGTTTATTTTCGGTAACTTCGGTGCCGAAATTTTCACCGAAAATAAAACGCACCGAACATGTCGGTATAGTACTAGTACACTTACCTGGAACGCGGGTGTACCGAAAATTTCCCTCTGCCAAACCGCCGATTTTGGAGAATACCGAAAATATTACACCACCGAAAATTTCTGCTTTTACAGTATAACAAAAACTCCCGAGTAACGAAACTACTTCAAGACAAGGTAACCATTCGGTTCCATAATTTTAACCTTGCGAATAATGACAAGTTGAGAACGAGAGAGCTTGGAAGCTCAGGGCCCTACGCTATGCTTTTTTTGCCTTGATGACCTAGACAAAAAAAAGCATAGGGATGTTATAATTTTTTTTTTTTTAAGACATAACCTGGGATTCAAACCCGCACTATCGCGCCCTGCATGCATCCCCCGATACACTTCGCATACATACTAATTCTTCCAAGTTGCTTCACATTATTATCTTGCATTTGAAAGCCCTATTTGAATATGCATTGTGGCCAGCCGTCTTTGATGGTACGGTACGGTAGGGATAGGTACGGGACAGGTACGATCGAGGGTTATACGACACCGTCTCCCGTACCGTACCGTCAAACACAGCTGGCCACATACAGCTGCCCGCAATATTCAAATAGGGATTTCAAACGCAAGATCATAACGTGAAGCAACTTGGAAGAATGGGTATGAATGCGAAGTGTATGGGGGAATGCATGTAGGGCGATAGTGCGGGTTCGAATCCCAGGATATGCCTGAAAACAAATAGGAGAATTGAAAAATTTATAACATCCCTATGCTTTTTTTGCCGTCAGATACGGGATAGCGCCAGGCGTGACACAAACAAACAAACACACAAATACCAAATTAAAGCTGTGTGGACCCTGGCTAGCGCCAGACGTTACTGAAGTAACGTCTTCTGCATAGCTACGGGAATAACAACACTTTTCTTAGGCCTGACTGAGGGTCGTTATTCGAATGTTGACTGTACAGGCAAACCAGCGCCCAGGAGCCATGCTGTAGTATTTCCTCACCAGCAGGGGTGGCTTGTGTGCAGTCCAGGAGCTGTTGGTGTCAGACGGTGTGAAGATGACCATCGCAGGCAGGTGTTGACGTCGTGACTGGAACATTGATGTCAACTGACCAATGCCCTCACCTAATGAATAAGCAAACAAAGCAAAGCACAGAAACTTTCAGAAAGGCAAACATGGGTTTCTGTGCGGGCGTATGATTGCGCTTTGACAGACAATATGGGTCTCGGTCAAGTACAAAATCAGGTTCCAACAGACAGACAGACAGACAGACAGACAGACACACGCACCCCCCCCCCCCCCCCCACTACACAAACACAACACACACACACACACACACACACACACACATACCCCCCCCCCCCACACACACACACATACTGTTGAGTTCCGAGGCGATGTTGACGATGAGCGGTTGTCCAGCCCAGTCAAACGTCACCAGGAGAGTGAAGAAACGCAGTAAGCCACTGATGCCAGACCTGAACGACAAACAATGCAACACAAACACAGATAAAAGACATGATTTGAGTCATGTTGGCTGAAACTCCACGCAACCCTGCAGCCAAGGGCCACATGACGTCGACCATGTTCGTTCCACTGTCCACATGCCATGCACACTTTCTGTACAACTACAAGTTTAGCCACATGACAAACTGATGTGAACACCACCCTATAAACAGCCGCTACTTGGCTTACCCTGGCGGCTGAAAAGGACCTGGGTTGATGAAGAGATACGCGACCAGCAGCTCGACGATCTCGTCGCTGAAGAAGCGCGCCATCAGCTGGCTGGAGAGCCAGCGCTTGGCCAGGCGACAGGTCATGGAGTAGGCCGGGTACTGCTGGCTCAGGCTGTGCACGTGGCCCGTGTGCAGCGGCATGGCGACCGTGTGACGCTGTAGCTCCGTCAGGCGCGGGCTCACCGTCAGCGCCGCCGACGCCGGGGTTGCCATACCGACCGATTGCGTTGTCACGGCAGCAACAGTGCCCGCCGCTCCCGTGGTGGACTCGGCGCTACTCGCGTCGCTGCGTTCCAGCAGGGTGAGTTCAAACGCGTGTGCAATGGCCATGCGGAATACGTAGCCATTCTGAAACAAACAAGAGAAGCAACGTTTTGCAACAATATTATTCAGAATACACGGCAACGGCAGCAGTAGCAAAAACACCCCGCATGTTGTGGAAGATATAGCAGAGAAGAAATGGAGCCACCCTTTGGTAGTCCATATGAGTCAAACTACAGCGACGTGTCCCACCAAAACCTGAAACGAGCGTTACAGGGCAGAGAGGGGAGCCAAACACACACGTGCAACTACTCAGAAGAGCAATGCATAATTATATCGTGACATCCGCGCCAAGCTCACTGTGTTTATCGCAATTAGAGCACTCTGACGTTGATGCTTCGAGCGGTTTAAAATACTTTTAGAATTGCGATCAACAGAATGAGCTGAACCGACATTTCACGAAAATTATTGTATTCAAAACCGAGTGGATACGTAGGCGGTGAGCTGCTGATCGCAATTCTAAAACTAGTGGCGCTTCGACGCTTATTTAAAATACTACTTGTTGTTCATTAGACTTCATCCAGTCACTCTGAGCTCCGTTGATGAGACCTGACAAGGCCGAAACAGCTAGCTGTTCCGAGATTGAGCCATCACATAGGGTTACCATAGTGTCTTGTATTAAAGCCTGTCTCGTATAGAAGCCTGCTTTGAATAGAAGCCTGATTTTCAAGATACACTGTCGGCACATACGCCTGGTTTTAGTGTGGTCATGCATAGAAATTCCTGGTTTGAATAGAAGCCTAGCACTGACATCGGCTTCTCCTGTACAGGAATAAGCCCGGCTTTAACACGTGACATTACGGTATATGATACGAGCCTATGTCATGATTGTAAAGTGGAACAATGGCAAGGAAACTGTAATTCGAAAACATGAGCGGGCAACTGTAACATGGTGGCTGCTTCACCCAGAGATTGGCACAACGTACCACGCAGATGTAGAGATGTGTAGGCGTGGGCACCGAGGTGATCGAGTGCTTCTGCTCCAGGATAGCGGCAAGCTGCAGGAAGAACGTGGCCTTGACGCGCGCAATGGCGTCTACATCGTCCGGCCAAGAGCCGCAGCCCTCCAGATGGCATACCACTAAACGAAAAGAACAACGAGAACAGAAATCCAACAAAGATACAGATGTAACGGGGCTAAACCAGCAAAATAGGAATGGGTGTTTTGTATAGTAATAACATGCAGTTCCTGTTGATGGCTCCTGGCCGAAAATTTGATTGAGATATTGTAATTTGCAGCGAAGAGACCACTTGAATTGAGGATGGTGTGTGTAGGGTTTTTCATGCAATGAAGTGGCTGCAGTGGAGCTTGCGCACATTTTTAAAGAAATGTAGTACTTCGAAGTAATAACACTAGAACAATGCTTCCCAGCACAGGTAAGAAGATATGCATGAGCATATATCCCTCATTCACAGACGTGGTGGCATTGAAGCTTGAAAGAGCGATGAAGAAGGACACGCTGCAGCTTGGAAATCAATGCAAACAAGAGTACATAACCCCCCAGAGTGTGCAACGCCGATCCAGCTCTGCATAGGGTCTTGGTCGAGCAGAATCGGATCTTCTGATGTCATGCGTACACTCCACATCAGCGCAAGGCCCGGTCTCGAGGCAGGGTACCATTGTTTTTGATCCGAGAGTACCCGCGACTCCCCGGGATCCCCTCAGATGTGTACGGTATTATGACGCAAAGATCCGATTACGCTCGACCAAGACCCTATGCAGAGCTGAATCAGGCGTTGCACACTCTGGGGGGGGGGGGGGGGGGTATGTACTCTTGATGCTAAGTGTATCCCAGACTGCATCCTCATTTGGAAATGTGCAGCCCCCCCCCCCCCCCCCCCACACACACAGACACGTGTGGCCTACCATCAAAGACATCCGCCAAGGGAGGAGAGCGCAGGACTCCGGGCAGCAAAACACCGCTGCGCCAATTCGCCACCTTCTTGCCCTGTGGCGGTGCCACAGAGAGACTCTTGGCACCCTTGCAGCGCATACCGATCGGGGTGGGAAATACCTAAATATAACCAAGCAGAGAGCACGACAAAAAGGCTGATGACAAACAGGCCCAAACAGAGGGGGGGGGGGGGAGGGGGGGGGTATCAATGGTATTAATTTCTACTGTTTGTAAGCATGAGATTCAGTAAAGCAGAGAACAGCGAAACGGTTCTATAAAAAGCGCCCTCTACGTAACGTGTTACGGGGAAATAAGGTATTGGACTCCGGAGATAATATGTAACGTACATGTACAATGGTATACAAAGCACTCTAGGTGATCTACGAACTCTCGCTATTGTGTACAATGGGATATTAAATACAATCTGCGTCAACCAGTCAATCGCCATTGAGCGTACAGTACAAGTTTTCTATGGCCAGTGGAGGTACGCTACACTGAGGTTTTTCTGTGCTGGAGATGCAGCAGCAGCGTGGCTTACGTCAGTGTGTCGAAATAGAGGACTGGCACCTTGTACGGATATGATATCCAGGCTGAGATCCTCCATGGCGCGCAAGTGTCGGGCTAGGTACTCAAACGCAGACACAATCTTGCTGGTCTCTTCCTCACCCGTACCAACAAATGCACTGGGCAGAAAGCAGAGGTAGATGGAAAGTTAGATGGATGGATGGATGGAGAGAGAGCATACAAAAGAGATACGGCAGAGTTTGTGTGTAACAGACTGCTACGTTTGTACAAGTATTGCCTCAGGCAAAGCATCCATATTTAGTGCATAGCAGAGACACTAGAGTGCAGGCAACCGGATGAAGAGATGAGAAGGTTCTTACGTTTTCGGCTTCTTCCTGTTCTTTTCAGCAGCAGCTTTCTCCAGGGCCAACAGTGCTTTTGCCTGCTGGCTGTTCTTAGGAATGATCTCCTCATCTCCATCTGGGCACAAACAAATAGACAGGAAAATACACCATTGATCAAGTCAGCTTCTTATCTCTTGCATATGCTTGTCTCGGTCGAGAGATCATTATTCTACTTCCTCCGTTAACAAAAACTTCGTGATGGATTTTGATGGATATGAAAACGCTTAGAACAGGTCAAGAACAGTTTTTATCGACTGCAAATCACTGGACGAAGGTGCCTATGTACAGCCTCTTTACAAGAGAAGCTGTTGGCGGAATGAGCAGAGAGTTCAGTTTGCGTCGCTTTCGCTAGATTCATTTTGAACTGCGTCGCTGTCGTCATCTGCTGCACGCGAGTCGTCATCTCTCTCGAGTCGTTGTTCAGCTCGTTTCAGCCTTGCCTCGGCTTCTTTGATCACACTCCGCTTGATGTCGCCGTCGTTCAAGTAAGTTTGCTTTCAAACTGCGTGATCCGCCGCGATGGCCATTACTCGTTTCCACCAGGGAGTCGTGAAAAATATTTTACGACTCCCTGGTTTCATCTTCGCTCTCCAGAACTCCGCGAAACGAGAAGTAAAGGCACAGCCAAACTGATTCCATTTTCTCTAATGGATATCAGGCATTGAATGGCAGCGGCTAGCAAGTCCAGTCGACTTTCTTTAGCCACGACACTCGCATCGGACTGCAGACTTCTGAACAAATGCATGGTCATCAGCATTCGAATCTGGGCTTTATCAGCATTCGAATCTGGGCTTTGCGCAGGTTGAACAAGAACTTGAGTTCAGAATTATTTTCATTGAGCCATGCGATCGGAGCAGCTCCTTGTTCACTCGCTCATTGTGCGGGCTCGCTGCTCCGTTTTATCGCTCTCTTTCACTCCCCAACGTACTCAGTGCTAAAGTGGTAGAGAGGCCAAGCAGCGCAATATCCCCTCGGAGAAGTGGCATTTCAGTTTCGCTCGCCATGACTGTCATCACCTATGTTTCCACAGCGCAACCATCGATTCCGCTTGGCTTGTTGTGAAAGGTCGCTTTCCTCGCATCGTACCTCTGTCATGGCATGCCAGGGAAGGCCAAGAAATTGATCGCAACTCATTTCACGGCAGTTTGTGCCCAAATCAGCTCCTCAAAATTCCATCATGAAGTTTTTGTTAACGGAGGTAGTAGTACAAAAAAGAGACATTACCACCGGAAACACTAGTACCAAACCAGCAACAAGAGAAGCTGCTCACTTGTGATATGTACTCAGCAGTTTCCAAACGAGGTATCACACTACTACCAAGAGTGCATAATACCCCAGAGTGCGCAACTTCACTGATCAGATCTGGGACGGCGAAATCCGTGTTGCACGTCATAGCATGACATCATGAGTAGGGGAAGTGTTTCCGTGGTGTACCGTGCCGAGGGAATGACGCAAGTCCGACCCAGAAAATGACGTACATCACGGATTACGCCGTCCCACAACCCCATCCAGTTACGCACTCTGGGGGATTATGGACTCTTGGCACTACCAATAGACAGAAACAGAACAGCACCACTCTGCTCTCTTTTGAATGGCGCAAGCATGGGCCGTGCTGCTACAGTACTTTCAAGTGGCGTGGTGTGGCACACACCCACATATAGATACACGCACATACCCCCCCCCCCCCCCACCCACACACACACACCCACACACACAGGCACATACACATATACCTTGAAGGACGCGACCATCTCCCTCTCGACAAGCACACAGCAAGGATCTCATGTGTGCCAAAAGAATACCAATGGGACCCCCGGCCAAAACCGTAACACTGTGCGAAAAGACAAACTGCCTTATGCTGGCCCCTTACTATCGCCCTGAGTCAAGCCACTGGAGCCGTCGGGTAAATGTGATGTAGACGTCTTGACTAGCGGTGCTGGCTGTAGTAGTGCATCGTATGGTCGTGTGCAGTCAATAATCGACGATGCCGGCAAGGACATGTGTCTGTGAGGATAAGAAAGGGACAGGGACACACATGCACAGAGAGAGAGAGAGAGAGAGAGAGAGAGAGAGAGAGAGAGAGAGAGAGAGAGAGAGAGAGAGAGAGAGAGAGAGAGAGAGAGAGAGAGAGAGAGAGAGAGAGAGAGAGAGAGAGAGAGCAGATAAACAAACAAAAACATGAAACTGATCAGATAGGTCACCACTAGTGGCCAGACAAGAAAAGATAAACATTCAGTAGAACATCATACACCAAAGGATCACGTTCTGTTAACTTCGGTCTAGTACAGTGAAGATTCACTAAAACACACAGTTCTGGACATGATATACTATGGGATATACTTCAAGTGAAGCACTACTTTTGAGCGCCATGCAGCAATACACTACGGTATACTACTGTATACCGGTCACTAGACCTTCGAGTACCTCAGATATAACCTACAGCTTATCATGTCCCTTGGACGTACGCCACGTCATGCAGAAGTACTTCGGCTATAAAGAAAAGACTCTGCGACCCGTGATGGTACCGGAATACTGATGTTTTACTGTCGTATAGCAGGAGACGGCCCGAAGGTAAGAAATCGGTCCTACACTGTCCCATTCTGGCCAGTAGCACACCCCCCCCCCCCCCACCCTGACACCGCGTGGATCTAGTCCAGTGCTACCGACCTTTAGTAATAGGTTTTTCATTTGACCCGACAAGACTACACGACGCTTGAAGACGACATCACGAACAGTTATGCAGCCACACTCCACGAAAGCCGCCGTGGAGTTTGGCTGGTGAACAGTTAGTTCGTGTTGCCGTCTGCAAGCGTCGTGTGGTCTCGTCGGGTCAAATGAAAAATCTATTACTACTATTTGACGGACCTGTTGAAGGTGGCAACAAAGAATTATAGCTACCGACCTTTCCATGAGGTGAGACACGATCCTGCTCGGGATGGTCCTCTTCTCTGCAACGGAGTTCGACGACCACACGACCGCCTCGAGGATGGAGGAGTCCTGGAAGCGGCGCAGCTCGGACTTCTTGCCCCAGAACGCCCTGAAATCTGCCGCCTTGAAACAGATGAACGAGTATACGAGTGTGAGAAAACAATCAAAAAGGGAATTACACGGAGAAAAAGAAACAGTTCATATTCATAAGGTCGAAGGAGTTGAAAAATGAGAAAAGTCTGAAGAAAAATTGGTTATTACTACCAGGGCTCGAACCAGGGACTTTCGCTTAGGGGCAGCGATGCTCTACCACTAAGCTTTCCAAAACTAAAAAGGGGACGTCCCGGTTACAATTATCACGGTATGGATAACAGTGCCAAAGAAAAACATGTTTCCCGCAAAATGTGACGACACTGCTCCCTGTTGATGCCAGCACCCCTTACCTCTGTCGCGTCTGCCGCTGGTCCATGTTGTACAATAGCAAACGCTGGAGCATGGTCTAGGAGCAGGGCCACGGTTATTGTGGAGGACTGCAGCTTGACTGGTGCCTTGCCAATCGACCACTGCTTGGCAAGAACACACACACACACGCACGCACGTGCACACACATACACACACATGCACACAGAGCATGGAAACAAGTGACACTGATGAAGTCAGTAAAACACAGGTAACCGGTAACGGAAGGGAGTGTGTCGCTTCTAGGCCATCGATGTGACATGTGGTGAGTCAAACCTGGTGACTCAGCAGGGCACACGTGCATACAATGGTGTGCCCAAATATCAGTGAGTCGCGATCACGAATTACTTCGATTCGGAATCGGGATTTTCTATCAGCTTTGCAGGCGTGCCGAAATTGTTACGATGGCTTTGACTAGTCGTGGCCTTAAGGACGAGTCCCTAGTATAGTTGTGCTCGGTGAAATCCGCAGCAAAGGCATACTTAGCGCCCTGGAAGTGGTACGAATGTGGCTAGGCTCAATGTACACATGTGCAAGTACAGTGATGTACTTGGTCTGCGTCAGCGATATTGTCGCTTATCTTTCAGCTTTGTTTATATGTCGCCAATGCTTACTTGGCAGCCCATTTCATCCCAATTTTGGTAAGCAAGTTAGTTTACGAGTACCTGAAAGGTCTAGCTAGAGTTCGAGTGGATTTCGAGAGCGACGGGTGGGTGATTCTGATTGATACAGCGCCGCATCAAAGATTATCTTGTTACGCTGTGCAGGCAAGAGCAGCGCAAGCCACAAGAAAGTAATCGGCTACTTGGAATCAGCTCCATTTTGCTGAACGGCCGAGATCGCTTACCTCAGGGATCGCTCGTCAAGTTGAGATCGCAGCTCCCTTACCTCCAGCTCAACGCTCGGAGTATCCAGTGCATCGTGGAGATTTGCAAGTACTGTACGCGTCGTCGTTCAAAAATAAAATCTTGCAAAGAACGGCGTCTGGTTTGAACCACACAGGCTGTCGTGCTGCCCACGCGAAGTCCTATAGAGAAGGCGACCGTCACGATCGACTTCTCTTTAGAAAATAGCCAGGCAGCGGAGAGGAAGAGAGATGAGCTTGCAAAAGCAAGAGAGCCGATCCCGAGCAAAATATTTGTCACCAGCGACGAGAGCAGTGACGAGGAGGACCGAAAAAAGTAGGAACCCTTCCTTGTACAATAAATTCCTCACAGCTAGTTGTCATTCTATACCTTACCGTCCATCGTACCAAGTTTTATCACTACAAGTGCACGCGTTCATGTCCAAAGTCTAAGTTCGAATTGTCGAAAGATAAGCGACAATATTGCTGACGCGGACCAAGTAATCGTAACTGGTCCAGGGCGTCAGTTTTGCACTTTGGTGGGTCGGATTCCAGTGAGTGCAGCGGTAGTTTTTTTGTCGCAGCGCGAGTGCAAATTGCCTCGTTACTGTACACAGAATACGGACAGTAACAGTTTAAAACAGGGTTGTTGGCAGCATGCACAAATAGGGCCCTAATACCAAATGCTATCACCCAGATGGTTTCAAGATATGATCTGCATGCAAGTGGGTACAACGGAAAAAAGTCTGGGGATTGATGATAGGCGATGTCTTTTCTCTGCAAATCCATACCTGCAGCTTGGAGTCGCAGTGCACAGACACCAGTGTGGCGCGCTCTCCCAGTCCACGACGCAGCACTCTGCCGGCGTAACGCTCGCCAGCGCACAGCCACTCGCCGCCAGCTGCCAGGCAGCGGTCCTGCCAGGCCGCAGTGTCAGAGCGCTTTAGCGGCGACACGTTAGTCAGCCTGCAGCACAGGTTAAAAACAAAGTACACAGGCCGAGCAAATACTGATCTCACTCTCTGAGATAAAGCTGTGTGGACCCTGGCTAGCGCCAGACGTTACTGAAGTAACATCTTTTGCATAGCTACGGGAATAAAATCTTCTATTGCACTTGCAGAATTCTGAGTGTACTATGGAACCCCGACAAACGGTGATGCCACTTACGTGCGTACATAAATTTGTATTCGCATGGTGCTGCAGTCAGAAGACGAGGCACATGTTTTAGCTTTAGGAACCTTGCCAACAAACAGAAACCAGGAAAATAAGTCGCTGGAACTGATACGCCAAATGTGAGAATATCAGCTTGAAGCCAGTAAGCCGATAATAGTCAATGGTACTCACTGAATGACTTGGTCAAACTTGTGCGACGGTTTGACGGCCTGCATGAACAGGCTGTCAAAGGCATCACTGCTTCGTGCGTCCAGGCAGGCCAAAGCCAGCTTTGCCTCGTGGGTAAGCTACAGAGCAGAGCAGAGCAGAGCAGAGCAGAGCAGAGCAGAGAGAGAGAGAGAGAGAGAGAGAGAGAGAGAGAGAGAGAGAGAGAGAGAGAGAGAGAGAGAGAGAGAGAGAGAGAGAGAGAGAGAGAGAGAGAGAGAGAGAGTGTTAAATGCTAGCAGGAACACATTCTGGGGCTGAGGTACACGGTAGCACGTAAGAACCATAAACGTGGCTTGGCTTACGCGCCAGCATTCAAACTGGCCATGTCCGCTATTCTTGCATGAAAGACAGTGTGGTAGTCTGCCACAGGATTCATAATTGAACATTGGACACTGCACTCACCTCATGATAGCTGGCCTCCGTCATGTGCGATGTCAGATTCAGGTGGCCGGAATCGTCCACAAACACCACCTCAAAGGTACCGTGGAAGTCCGCAGGTGATGGCTGTACAGCACACAGAAAAATGGATCACATGTTGCTGATGCTGGTGACCTTATTGACAACAGTCAACCGTGTGAATAACAACAACTTGGGAATAGTGGCACTATCTTCAGACCTAGTAACATTTGGACTGCACACTGCCAACTTAACCCTTTATCGGCCGATTAAAATATAAACAAGCCCACGCAATCGCCAAACCTGTACCTAAATTGGACGTAACTTTAGTCTGCACTGGACAAATTCCACGATCTTGGGCATCCTGGAAAGGCCTTGGCGAGAGGAGCGCAATGAGCGTACACTCGACTCCACGGGATGCACTGGCCCAGCGCTGCAAGCCAGGGAAGGCCCACCAGCGCTGGGCTCACGCTCAAGATCCATCTCTATCCACCATTTCACTCCTGTTGCTCGTATCAAACTCAAATTTTTTCGTAGAGACTCCTGGGAACCTGCTTTTGAAGTTGAATCGGAGTAGCCTTGTCAACAGGTGACGTAAGCAGGGAAAATCCCGGTCGTTGACCCATGCATCGCGCTCTGAGCGCAAATTTCCCGGGACCAACATTCCGAGTGCTATAACTCCAGAACCGCTCTTTGTATCGCTTCGAAAATTGTTCGAGGCGACAGCTGAGAGTTTTCTCTTCGACCTACATAATTATTTCGATCTCTCCGAAAGACCGAGATTTGACCAAGTTACGATAATTTCAAAATACCTACCCCATCGAACATCGGTGTTTGATCAATGCATGGGCCGGCCAATAAAGGGTTAACGAACAACAACGCTTTGCAAATAACAACACTAAGCTCGTGGCCACACACGTGCCACACACACACACACACACACACACACACACACACACACACACACACACACACACACACACGCTGCATGGCGCTGAACACTCCAGAGTACATTCTGGAGGTGCAGCATTGATGTCCGCGCCAGCACAGACGGGACAGTCAATCGGAGTCGTACAATTAGACCGGAATGCGTGCCGCTGACGCAAAGCTCACTCTAGTTAGTCTCCAGTTGCACAACAAATGGTCTTGTGTCCAAATGTTGCCGCAGTAGATACATTCAATCTGTGAAGAAGCAAGCAGCTGACTGCGATTTGAGTTATAAAATATTTACACAGGTTCGGCCGCTCTTTCGCCAAATTTATCTTTCAGGAGCCCTACTTGATCATCCTGTTTGAGCTACTTGTTTCGGCACCCAACCACTGCAGCAGGGCACGGGTTGACCTTAGGGGAGCGCACTGCACGAAAAACGCCATCCATCGTATACCGCAAGCAGGCTGATACTTTCACGTTTCGAGTTCTTAACATATCGAAAACCTGGCCGAGCAATGATGGCGCACTTACCGTGTTCTCGCCTTCGAACATGAACAGTCCTTTCTGTGTCCAGTCAGATTGAGCTGCAGGTTCATCAGACAACACGAACAAAAACATAGAAATGTTGGTAAGGATGCTGGCCAGAAACCAGTTAGCCGTAACTACCGTGGCGCACCGGTGAGGGAGGCGACAGGAAAACGAAAATAGAACGGGATACATGCACCATACTCGAGTCGCTGTGGACATGTGCAAAGTACAAACATGTACGCCACTTCAGCAACAGGTAGAGCCTTGCAGGAGTCAAATACAGGGGCGAATACGAGTTCTGCAGGTGGGGGGATTCACCAGTACTAGTAGCCATTCTGAAATACCGTATTCGTGTGATAAAGTCTGTCCCATGTAGAAGCCTGTTTTGAATACAAGTCTGATTTTCAAGATACATTGTCGGGAAAGAAGCCCGGTTTCAGTGTTGTCATACATTTAAAAAATGCCGGGTTTGAATAGAAACCCGGTGTGAATAGAAGCCTGGCTCAGACATAGGCTTCTGCAGGAATAAGTCCGGCTTATACACTCGTACGTCGAGTGGATCCGCCATGTTCCCCCGTCAAAACCGCTTCAGCTGACAGATCTGACAGAGAAGGCACCCTGGACCCGTGCCACAGCCCATCATCACTCCTCGCTTACCCAGTGTCCTGAGGATCATTCGCAGAATCTGATAGCTGCTCATCGTGCGACTGATCTGATTCGTCTTCAGCAGATGGGCGGCAAGCATGCTGCCGAGGAAGCCATTGAACGATCGCAGACCCTGCAACAAAACAAGCCGAACAAGAATACAGTAAAACCTGTCAAGGCGACCACTTGGACAAGGTGACCACCTGTCCTAGCAGACCACTGAAACCTGGATCAAGAGATGCTATTTCCACTCAAACGGCCCTGGATAAGGAGACCACCTGGTAACGGAGACCACGGTTTGAGCGTCCCTTGCATGGCCGTCTTAGACAGGCTTCCCTGTAATGGTGATACAGTTGACTGGCCACACCAGCAGGGACAGTGAACACACAATTACAGTCAGACCTCGCTTAACCGCACACATCCGTTTTCCACAAAAAAATATCCGGATAGGCGAGAGAACCGGATAATCGAACACACACATACTGTATGTATGCATGGCATATGCTGCTAATTGTTAAAGGGGAAGTTAAGGCAAAAATCAAAATTTCACCAGTTGTAGTCTTCGGGGTGCTAAGTCGAAAGGTCGTGGTCCGAGGAAGCTGAGACGCTCCCTTCCTACTTGAATCCCAATCGAACTCGCGCACTTCCACCGAAACTGGGCGACTGCGCCCTACTAGATGGGGATTTGTATGCAAAATGTCACTACAAGCGCCATTTCGTTCTTATAAAAGCACTGATGACAGCGATTGGCCCATACGTTGTAGTCTTTTGGACGCTGAGTCGACTGGTTTTGGTCCGAAAAGGCCGCGATGCAGCGTTCGGCCCTTATTCCCAATCGAACATGCTTGAACAAGCGGTCACGTGCTCCTGCGTACACCAGTCACCTGGTCACCGTGCCTGCAGGGTACAACTTACTAGCCTGTTTGACCTTTTTTGGGTGCAGTCCTGTCACTCGAGTTGAACTCGAGTTGAACCTTGGTGTGAAAGTTGTCGCCTGCTGGCGCTGTGACCAGGTGACTTGGGCATGCAGGAGCACGTGACCGCTTGTTCAACCATGTTCGATTGGGAATAAAGGAGGAACGCTGCATCGCAGCTTTCTCGGACCAAAACCAGTCGACTCAGCGTCCAAAAGACTACAACATATGGGCCAATCGCGGTCATCCGTGCTTTTATAAGAACGAAATGGCGCTTTTAGTGACATTTTGCATACAAATCCCCATCTAGTAGGGCGCAGTCACCCAGTTTCGGTGGAAGTGCGCGAGTTCGGTTGGGATTCAAGTAGGAAGGGAGCGTCTCAGCTTTCTCAGACCAAGACCATTCCACTCAGCACCCCGAAGACTACAACTGGTGAAATTTTGATTTTTGCCTTAACCCTTTAGGGCCCACAATTATTTCAAGAAATGCACTGCATACGCGAGCCCAGTTACTTATCTGGTCGTAACTTTGGTGTCCTTTGGCCGATTTTGGTGATCTTGGGCTTTCTGGAAAGCTCTTGGCCAGAGGAACACAGCGATAGCCAGCAATCCATCACTCGATCCACAGAACCAGCGCCGCAGCGCGATACGGCGCTCCAAAGCCAGCATTGCGAGCGCCCAACTCAAATTCTCTGCCATTTCAACAAATTGCATCGCAGATCGCTCAAATTTTTTTGCTGGAGAGATGAGAAACATGCCTTTGCGATGACGCGAACTATCTGTAGCTGCGTGGGCCGCGAGTCAGGGAAAACCCCTAAAAACGAGTTCAAAATGCACGTGCTCGAGTTGACTCTGCTGAGCGAATTTAGTTCGAGTCTTGTATCTCTGCTCTCCGACCTCGGATCGCCTTCGGGTTTTTTTGAGCCGATAGCTGAGACAATTCTAATGTCGATAGCCCTTTCGATTGTCCGATTTGGTCAAGGGACAGCCGAGTTACGCCCGGTTGCGCTTTGAAAAGTATGCACTGTACACTGGTACGGATATATCCGTACTATGGGCCTCAAAGGGTTAACTTCCCCTTTAATCAGTAACCAACGGTTTTCTTCCGGATGGCGAGGGATCCGGATAGGCGAGGTCCGACTGTACTGACAAAATCAGGGACGGATGAACATCCATGTCAATGGCATGCATGTGTCACCGAGAACCAACAGTGACGGCACTCCTTTGCGCAGCAGACACCAGCTATAAGCCGTGCTGAACAAAGCAGCATGGTCCATCTTGAACTTTGAAGTACTTCTTCTTGAAATCAACAAGGACACTGCATATTATTCCAAACTTTCAGCTTTCCTAGCTCAGCGAGCAGGCACTCAAGGGTCAATAAAGAAAGCGCAGACACATCTGATCTAAGGGCCAAGAGTACTGGGTAAAAGAACAAGAAATGGTGGAAAGCTACAGTAAAACCTGTAACTAAAGATAGTGGTGACACGAATATACCGAATGTTCGAATGTTCGTTCGGTTTGTCACATTCGAACGAATATTTCTCATGGCGAATATTCGCTAACTGGGTATTCAGAGTTTACCGGGGAACTTCAAACTTCCGTAACTTCGCAAATACTTGACCGAACCGCTTCATCGAAAGTTCCATCGGCATTAGAAAACTCTCAGCTGTCGTCTCGAAGCAACCCGGACGCGATCCCAGGTCCTGGAATGGAGTTATGGCGGTCGAACGAAAAATCACGTCTTGAGCTGTTTTTTGAGCGTGTAAAACGCACTTCATCTGGGGATTTTGTGAAAATTGACCTAGAAATGGTGGAGAAATATGTGCCTTCGTTTGTCATGCCCAATAATAGTGACAATATCTAACAAAATGACTGAGAGGAGGGCGTGTGATGTCATCCGTGTTAACGAACGAATATTCGTTCGTTTGTTAAGCCAAAGAATATTCGGCTACTGGGTTTTGATATTCGTTTCACCACTAACTAAAGACCACCGTGACTAGCGACCAGCCTGGTACTACAGACCACTTCACCAGGCACAGACGGTCTCACATTCATATGGTTGTGCGGTGCAAACCTCTAACTTAGGACCACCTGCCACTAAAGACCGCTTTTTCTGGCCCCAAGGGGTGGTCGTTAGTCACATGCGTTACTGTAATTTGTCTGAAAGACCCCCCCCCCCCCCCCCCCCGGGCAATTCTGGAGCAAACAATATGTGTAGTGGAATGCATTGAAATACCTTGTCCAGTGAGCGTTGACGCAGCCAGACCTTCAGCAGGCGCATGGCATCAGGCATGGCCGGGCATTGCTGGAAGGCAGTGTGCAGCATGGCCAGGTGACGCACTGGAGCCATGTCGCGTAACAACAGGCTGTTGTAGTACGGTGTGGCCGGCTCTTCTGCTGCGCGGCGAAACAGAACAGACACACATACACACACGCACACACACACACACACACACACACACACGCACGCGCGCGCACACTCACAAGCCTTGCTTTACCGGTACGAGTTTGCGAATGCTGAAAGTGCTCCCAGTACACCAATCAACCAGATAGCGAAGACAAACCATCAAAAACCAAACGCGTAGAAAAACACACATTCACAATTCCCAAGACGGCCGGAAATATGTACACTCTGTTTACGTCGAGCTTACCACCCTCTGAGTCAGCTGACACCGACTTGAAGAACTTCTTGCGGCGAATGCAGTTGCGCGCTGGACCTAGTCGGGTGGGCTTGAAAGCAGCGTCATTCACAACCGGATGTACTCGCAGTGAAAAGCGCTGGCCAGGTTTTCCTACAGGAATAACACAGTGAGATACACAAACACATGGTTACAGGTGCCAAAGTCAGAACATACCAGCCACAGGCAACTATTCACGTTGCCATTCACATGCATGCCAAGAGATGAATTAAAACATGCAGAAAACACAAGTACCACAAAGTAATACACACAACATTAACTGGCGCACGCACACGCACGCACACACACACACACACACACACACACACACGTGCACGCACACACACACACACACGTGCACGCACACACACGCACACACGTGCGCGCACGCACCCACACACACACAAACCTCAGACATGCCCATCGCGTAAGCGATGATAGCGAACAGCTATGTTGAACATAGAAACTTGTGCTGGGACTACACCACACAAACACACACACCTCAGACCTGCCCATCGCGGAAGCGATGATAGCGAAGAGCTATGTTACACATAGCAACTTGTGCTGGGATTACACCATTCAACAGCTTGCAAGGCTGATGAATTGACCGCCACTATTTTTAGCCTGGTACCCACCACACAGCTGATATGAAGTGACTGAACCCGCAACCTCTCGATTGGAAATCGACTGCACATACCACTGCACCATATGGGACACACACACACACACACACACACACACACACACACACACACACACAGCCCCAACACCACTCACCAGTCAAGGTCACCGCTAGCACTGGCATCAGGCGACTGTGTAGGCAAATGAACTCCACTCTGCTCACAGCAGAACAGCGAGTGAGATGGTGTGCCAGATAACACAAATAGGCTGCTCGCTTGTGAACATAACGATGATTTAGGTGATCGCCATCATCCAGAGAATCCTAAACAACAGGAATGCAAAGGTTGTACATGTAACAACAGTCTGACAACATCTCTAACAGTGGCTCAGTGTCAAGTATCTAAGAGGAACACTGAATGCATTCAGCATCCTGTGACGGACCATCCACGTACACGCTGGAAAAGTCGCGTAGACAGAAAAGAATACAGCCATGCCTTTTCAAAATGTGGCAACAAGCTAGGTATGTGTGCATGCATCCATAGGACTGTCAATGCTACACGGACATCACTATCAATTCTATTTATCCTAACATCAAGGAGAAAGATATTCACAATCCACAGCCCCCCCCCCCCCCCCCCACACACACACGCACACACACCACACAAACAACAAGGATCTCCTCTGCGACTTACTGCAGGAATCTGCACTGCCAGATCGATGTTGAGCGATGGCTTGGTGAGGGTACCCAGCAGATAGGAGCCAATGACATTGATAGACGATGGAGCAGAGAACGAGAACGTGGCATCCTTCGTGCAGTTGCCAAGGAGCTCCTTGGGCAGTGGGAAAACAACGCCTGCCGGAAGCCATGCTGCTTCATCAGCCAGCTGTCCACAGTGACAACAACAAATTCACAAGCAGTACATAGACAGACTGAGACATGTTGGGTAGACGTGGCAGCCTCCTGGACCTGGTCAGCTATCCAACATAACCACACCGTTGTCACATGAAAACGTTCGTTATGGAAACAAATACACGTGTACCTACCTCCATGACCCGCTGTGACTGTATAGAATTCCCTAGTACTAATGACTGCGCATCTAGCAACATATATCTCTACATTACGGTTTCTGTCTCCTAGTCGATTTTTCATACTAGATCATTGTTGTTCATTAGACATCATTGCAATCGGTCCGGTCAGTCACTCTAAGCTATGCTGATGAGAGATAACAAGGTCGAAACAGCTAGCTGTGCGTAGATTCAGTAAAATAACTACAATCTTGGAATGGGTGTGTCCACCCGAATTCCTTTCATAACTACAATCATTACTGTATTACACTCTAGATAAGTCATGCACATTAATTTTGCAAACGGACAGCACATCGTGTGTGTGTGTGTGTGTGTGTGTGTGTGTGTGTGTGTGTGTGTGTGTGTGTGTGCGTGTGTGTGATATGCAACATCATTTAGTCACCAGGGCTCCATGGGTGACTGATTGAGAGAAAACCGTCTTAGACCGTGACGATGCAAGTAAACACGGTGCTTCAAAGAATGACAGCCAATCGACACTCACCTTGAACGGCTCCACGGCGGGAAGACCTTCCAAGTGCTGCTTGACCACTGCGAGAGCTTTGTCCAGCGCCGAGTAGCGCGGCTTTGTGTTCACTTCGCTTAGAAGCTCGCTTGTCTGTGGATACCAGAAACACACACACACACACACACACACACACACACACACACACACACACACACACACATACACACACACACATACATAGACACAGAACACGGTCAAAGAACAACCTCTGGAAAGAAAATCGAAAGCGTTTTACGCTCCCTCGCCCTGGCATGACGGTGAAGTACAACAATGCACACGTTGCACATACAAGCAGAACTAGCGTAAGGGGTATATTCAAGATAAGCACCACACCTGAGCAAGACAGATCATACAGGAAACCTCCACGGCACACCTGGGCAGCTCAATGCCAAGCTCAGCAAATAGTGACCTGCTCAGATTTGCAATAGAGACAGACCCCTCCAGGTGCTGCCTTGGCAATATCAAAAATATGCTATGCCATCAACGTGCCGTAGCACTCACACCTAATTAAACATTACACATAGCTACGCGAAGTGTGCTCAAACGCTCCATCACATGAGCTTACCCACCCACCTCATTCGCCACACCAGCAACACGACTCCAAACTGGTGTTGATATTGGCAAAAATTCCTCCGTACCGCTGTTTCGATCATACTAATCTTACCATGTGGCAGAGAGTATGAACTAAATTAATGGCCAATTACCCTCCTGACTACGTAGCCAAGTCGAAGATCATTTCGCAACGTTACCTGATTACTAGTCATCCGTGAAATCTCTCCCATGACCCTTCTTACCTGGAGACGAAACAAATTTGAACGGAATGAGCCCTCCGTTTCACGAATAGCCGTCATTTCTTCCCCAGTCGGGGCACGATATAGTTGAGAGCCGGGTTCGGCATCTTCAGAAGGTCTGCTTCTCTGCGAGTACAATAAATTCAGCCAGTAGCAAATTATACTTGAAAACAAATTCAGAAAGGTGTCCATTTCGAGCTCATCATACCTTCGCATCTCCTTCCACCGGGTCATTTTGCTTCCGCTTCATCTTGAACAAAATCTATGATGAGATCAAGCCATCCAACGTCCCGAGATGAAATCCTCAAGGTACAACCCAAGCAAGCTACAACAAGACATGAACTCGAAATCTCGACTCGAGCTTTGTTCTTCAACAAAGTTCAAGCGAATAGAACAGTAATTTTGCTGTTTGGGTGTATTTTATTTTTCGAAGCATATTTTTTGTGTGCATGGCGCGGTGAAGTTTTGACGCCATTTTTAGTTGCCATTGACCACGCTACGTGACGTCACAGACAAGTCAAAATGAGTTTGACCAAGAGTACATGAAAACCAGAGTGTGCAGCTTGGGGCCTTTTCTGCTATGGGTGTCTGTCACGGCGAAATTCCGTGATTACATCATATTTGGCCCAGATCTGAGGCGGGAAATGGCGTAGTGCGTACAACTGAGCTGCAGTTGTGCAGAAAGAGACCTGCTTGAATCCTGCTTGTACGCACTACATCACTAAAATGATGTAATCACGGAATTCCGCCGTGACAGCCACCCATCCGAGCTGCACACTCTGGTTTTCATGTACTCTTGGTTTGACAGTCGAGTCGGGCGTAGACCTTCGGGCGCGAAAACAATGCGTGGCTGGCTCCGCTCAGGTTTTTTTTTTTTTTTTTTTTTTTTAAGGAAAAGCACATAACCACCAAAAAGGAAAGCTGACAAAGAAAAAAGAGTAAGAAAAGACAGATAAAAAGAGAGCTGAGAGAAAGAGAGAGAGAGTTGGGGTACGGTTAGGGGAGGACGAGACATTGAGGTGAGTGTTGCAGCCAGGGAGTAGTAAAATACTGTATTTTACTACTCCCTGGTTGCAGCTACGAGTAGACCTCCGAGTTTCGTTGGTTTGCCGCAGAACCAACCACGTGATGTTAATGGTTCCCGACTGAGCAGGTGCGGAGGTGAAGACAACGCCTGGTACTGAATTAAGAGTGAAGTGCGGTGATACCAAGAGTAGATTGAAACTACTCTTGGTGATACTGATGATAGCAATAATGAAGTAACTGTGTACTTGACTTTCGTCTAGACAAGAAACTTCTAGCAGAGAGTAACCAACACTGCCGTTGAAACATCAAGCTCTCAACAACTGCAGCTTTATCCGCGGACACAAGGACCAGTCTTCGTGACCAGGCAGGCACAGTGGGTTGGTCAAAGACCATGATTGAGATACGAGAGGTACCTGGTTCAAGTCCTGCCTGGGAGCGGTTTTTTCCAGCCGTGTTGCTACCCACAGTCAACTGGGAACTTGTGGCCAGGCACAAGGCCAAGGGGTACATGGTTGCAGTCTGCGCGGCTACCGGCGCTCTTCAGTGCCACTTCCTGTTCACTCGGCTGTTCTGGCGGCTGCTGAGTGTTCATTGTAAGCGTATGACACAAGTACGGTGGATGTACATGGAGTTGCTTACCTCTCTTTCTTTGTTACTCTTTTCTTTTCCTTCATCTTTTTCTTTTTTCTCTTTTACGTTTACTTTATACCAGGCGTGGGCCATCCCCTGTACATAGGTGCCATCATTTTTCTTTGTTTCTTTTTGGTCAGCTTCGCTTGGCTACTCACATACAGCAGTACATGCACAAAAAAAAAAAAAAAAAAAAAAAGTTGCAGCTAATTATGGGGTCGTTTTCGGCACTTGTGCCAGTGGTTGTGAGACTTATCCACTCACCCCCACCGTCAGGCGCTGCATCTGCCGCTAGGGTTTATCGGGTGTTAGCGGCCGTCGTGAGTTCCCTTCGGGAACGGACACGATAATTATTTACTTACTTTAGTCTTCGTGCTGTCTCATACAATGAGGCACAAGCAGGAGAATTCGAGGTACAAAGAACCCGAACCAATGAAAGGAAAAAAAACCGGATAGCTAGCACCAACACTGCTAACGAATAGCGCGAGCTCCAGTGTGGGGAGCAAACCCTTTCCTAACAAGGCATCGCCGAAGTCGCTACCACTATTTCGTACCACAGTCACTGAGTGGTACCAAGAGTATAGCGTTATATGCTCTTGGTGGTACAGTAACATGTACATGTAAGCTCAGCAAAGAAATAGCGCTCGGAAAACTGGGGGAAAGGAAAATGAGGTGCATGCGGATAACTCGAGAAGTGGGATAGGATTGAGAAAAGAATTCAAAAGATGGACGAATCATGTACACAGTGGCGTTGCTGAATGCAGACAACTTGCCAGTTTCAACCAGAGAGAAGTGCAATACGAATCGTTACTACATGCACTCCCTGGTTGAAACACCCATGAAGTCCCATGCACACACCTCAGACCTCAGACCTCAGACATGCCCATCGCGGAAGCGATGATAGCGAAGAGCTATGTTAGACATAGCAACTTGTGCTGGGTGTAGTCCCAGCACAAGTTGCTATGTCCAAAAAGAAAAAAATGCACACACACACACACACACACACACACACACACACACACACACACACACACACACACACACACACACATGCCAGCCCTTGGGGATAATGCTTCGGCAAACTAGAAATCAACAGATCATGTTCTGCTCGAAAAGCACAGAAGTTGGCAGAACAAGTCAACGCTTACAAGTTACAGTAGGCAGTTGCTCGCGTTCTGCCACACTTCTTTATTCAATAATCCCAGGCAAGAGTACATAACCCGGGTTATGTACTCTTGATAACAAACCTGCACGAGACTGTGAGTAAAACCATTTCTAAAACGTTTTTAGACATATCTGCGCCATTTGCTCTTGTTGCGGCATTGTTGTGGCGACTACCTCATGGATGCTCTGCAGCAGCAATGCTATTGCCTGTATAGAGAACAAATTGGCTGGCAGAATCACATTGCGCTACAGTGTAGCTGAATCCTGAAGCGAGTTGATGGGTCGGGGCCTCTCCGTTTAGCACAATAATCCTGTCTACTCCTTTTAAAACATATTTTACAGTACTAACGTTATCATGGTGTCTCTACATATGTGCAATAATACACAAGAGAGATTGGAAGCTTTGTCACAACTCTCAGTTTCATGTATTACTACGATCATCAGGCAACTACTAAGTGCAATAAAAAATATTATGCTTTTCACATGTGCATTAGCTCGAGAAAGGGAAGGACTTAGTAATGGTAGTTTGCTATTCCATCAGTGCATTGGTAAGTACGTTACTCCCTAACTAAAATAGAACTGGCCAAAATCAAACATCCTAAATTTTGTCTTTGTTCCTTCTTGTCTTTTTGTTGGCATCAGTGACTAACGCCCCACCCCACAGAATCCATTACTACATGATTGTATTGGCCGCTATAAAGCTTCAGGAAGCGTGACTCTTCTATTTTCCCTTCGAAACCTACACACATGACTCAGTTCAATCAAGAAAATTATCGTAGTCCGCGATGGATATCATCAAGAGTAGATAAACTCTTGATATCATGCAGCTGTTCTAAGTTCTAGTATGAACTGTATTCTTGGCTATGAAAAACCTGCAATCGCCACGCAAAGTGGTCATTGGCTACCCCAGCCATGTATTGCTTGGAATAACACTAATTGCACATATTGCACATTGCCTCCATCATTTTACATTGCATGAATAAAGTGTACACAAATGTCGATTCAGCTTGTCTTATTGATTGCGGATGTCAAAATTTAATTATTGTCTCCTCGCCGTTTGTTTAAATAAAACTAAAACTAAACTTTATTCAAATTATGCTGTGTGAGTGTGGATGCACTACACTACATGTAACCAAGGCAAGAGAAATACTGAGCTACCTGAGAGCATATATGCATACGACAATTGATGTAACTCAGGTCAGTAGCAAGATGCTACAGTATATTTGTTTCCGGAGTGTTGAGCCCGGCGGCAGCGAGTAACGATGGGGATACATCAAGGACTGCCTGATCCCGTCGCAGCACACACACACACACACACACACACACACACACACACACACACACACACACACACACACACACACACACACACAATGTACAAGTATGCGGGCGCAATGTGTAGCTTAACCAAACAGCCTCCAACAATACCAGGCATCAAGGCAGGAACAATGTACACTGTAGCAGTATATGTGACGGGAGTCATTAGAATAATGACTTGTTTCGGGCAAAACTTGGCAACGATCTGAATAAATAGTTGAATATGTAAGCAGTTTAAAACCAGATCAAGTGACTTAGAATGGGGATTTAAAAAAAACAGTTGGGTTCCTATAATAATAATAATAATAATATTACTGGGGCTCGCAGGTCCACAGTATTTGCCTATGATGGTGCTAATGCGAGTGTGAGGGTTCATGATATGCCAGAGAACAGTAAAACTACATGTACTTACAACACTGATTGACTCTATTGGCGAGAGACTGCATGTTGTATGAACCGTATGGCGGTGAAAACTCATGGCTAAATATGACATTCATTATACATGCACCAGATTGAGACGGTGCAATTAGTGTTGGGAGGATAAAATAGGTGTCGAGAAACAATGGTACATGTAACTCAACGAGGGCACCGTAGATGGGGACAAGACGAGACGAATCGAACTAAGACCATGGATGCTCAGTTAAATCTTGGGCCCTGTGTTGTATTGGGTACTAGTACTTGATGGTAAGATAGAGTTATTGGTCGTGATGCTCATGCACATCACCATCACCGAAATGGCCATCAGCATGGGGCCTACGATCAAACTACACGGTGCCGTGGTATACTATGTGCTGATATGCTAGCAGCCGCCTTACTACACACAAAGTACTCGCTCAGGCTTTTCGGCCTGGAGATGAGAATAGGCATTGGACGAAGCGGCACGGCGGTCGTAGTAGCGAATAGAGCTGGGAGGGGTGGACTGTGGACAGTTCCCCCATGACTGGTGCTCAGGGCTGTTATTTCCTGCACAGCTTGTGGTAGCGCTTGACCGTATGTAAGAAGCCGCGTTTCCAGCCTCGGACAATGGTGTCCGAACATGGTAGCTTGACAAAGTGAGCGCCAGCACTGGGTGCACCAGCGGAAGGAATAGTGGAGGTTGCTGAGGACAATTCAGTGGGGTGCTGCTGGTCGTGCCCATCATCTTTGGTGAAGTATCCCAGTGGAGCAGCAACCAGGTGTGTTTCTCCGTCAGTCATGGAGTGATTGCAGCAGGCTCTGCCAGTGGATCCGGACACACTCACAATGTCATGCTGGTGAAGATGCTGGACGTTGGGCATGGGTCGATTGCTCCAGCGCTTACCAATCACGAAAGCATGCAGCGACTCAACGTAGACAGCCCGGAGAACTGACAGGGACAGAAAGCAAACAGGGGGAAAGTAGTTAGACAAGAAAAAATCTTTAGACGTACATTATGTAGGTGAATAGATAATTATATTATAAGTAATGGATATTGGGGTGCTTCCTCCATGCAACAAGATACAAGAGCAACCCTACAATGCTTCCATACCAATTGACCCAGGGTTTCGCCATAGGTATGGGCAAGCAGTATGCCTTTAAGCCAAAATCGCATCGTGCTTTTTAAGCTTACCCACAATAGTTTGGTCACTGCAGACAAGATTCTCCAAGTCTTCTTCACCCAGGCCATTCTCACAGCCTGTATTCCCTGCGAAGCAAAGGACACAGAGGAGAGAGAAAGAGAGACGCAGTGGTACATGGTGGTCAGCGTTAGATGTCATGTTTCGGGGATTACTTAAAAAAATGGATGGAAGAGAGGGGAGGGGGGGGGGGTATCACAACAAAGCAATCCAGACTGTTTCACGAGTGATTTCATAGATCATGCTGTATCTCATTACTCTTGCCTGATGATTGCCTCCTGCGTGAAACTCGGAGTTGGAACGAATTATTCATCATCTCATTTTCGGTCTTCGACGACTTTGCTGGTGGGGACCTACTCACGGCCCACCGCCTTATTAGGAGCTGCATCTGTGCCTTTTAACCCTTTCACCACTGTCGACGTATATATACGTCATGACGTGTGCATCTGCCCCACTGACGACGTATATATACGTCCTCGGTGTACGTCGCGTTTGTACTGATGCCTCAACATCAGTGGGGCCCGGAACTGTTCCTCAGTGGGCTGAAGGACCTGATCGACGTGTACGCAGCGTATGTGGCCAGTCTGCACAGCAGAACAGCCGCGAGCGTCGAGTTTGAAGTGCGTATTTTGGCATATCGTTCAAATAAATTGTTTTGCTCAAAGTTCGTTTTCGTCATCTTGCCCTGCTGTTTCTCGGCAAGGTAAGTAGCTCAACTACTCTGTGTCGATGGAAGGAGTCCTGTGAAGCAGTGTGAGGCGGGTAATGACTCTGAGGATGATTCTGGAGACAGCGAAATTGTGTCGGAGTCGTTTTCTGAGGATTACGAATTTGCTGCTATTCAAAAGATCGCAGCTGGCTCGGACGCAGGGGATGCTGGAGACCAAAGAGATTTGGAAAGCGATGCTGAAGTCTCTGACACCTAGGCATGGTGTTCTGAGCAGGAGCTATCTGGCGTGAGCCCGTTTGCTGAAGTTCCTCAAGTAAACTGCGATCAAATTCGAAGGTCAGATTTTTGAAAATATTTGAATTTGAAATCAAGTGTACTGGTCAGACATGCATGCAGATCACAATAGAGATGTGCATACCGCGTACCGGTACATGTAAGTATTGTATGTTGAGTACAGAGCCAGGCACCTACAGGATGGTGATTGCCATCTAATATGAATCCAGAATAATCCAGAATAGTCAACAATTGTGCAATTTTGAACCACTATCAGAAATTGCACAGCCGATTGTTTCTTGAATTTTCATGCGTACGTACACCGGTACGCAGTATGTACTCGGCTGTTTAGGGAATGCTTCAGACTATTTTGGTAGCTGGATTGTCTTGCCAGTGAGTGTCCAAATCAGAGAATGAGCTGTATTGCATTCTCTATCAATATGACTTTACCTGTGCGCGTACGTACGTACGCGTGCGGCCAGTGATGATTCACCCTGGGATGCGCCGAGCACAGTGAGCCAACCGCTGCCACTGCACCGGCTGCTATTATAGCCGATGCAGTTGCTGTGGTTGCTACTCCAGTTACTCGGCATCCTCACTGTCCATCACATGGTTTTGTCTTGAAGTAGGTAGGGCTGCTGGAGGATTCAAGCTTTACGAGGCGACCAAGAAAAAAGAAAGACCCATTCTGGATCGCGCAGTCGCATATGATTCAAGCGCCGTATAAAACGAGTTGCTGTACTCTAGTCTAGGTTGCCGTAGAACACCAGGATCATATCAAGCTTGTTATATGACATTTCTCCATTCTGAAGTCAACACTGACCAGTTATAGCACTGCTTGCCATTGCTTGTCTGATCTTTGTCGTCAATTGCCTAAATTGAATGAATTTTGAGGAAAAATCGCCAAAAGTCGCATATCTAAATATGGTGTTATGAGTCTCGTACAATGAAATCCTACAAAATTTCTTTGAATTCACAGTGCATATGTCCATACCCAACATCTCCAATCAATTTTGGACCAGAATAGGCATTTTCAAAAATTGCCATTTTTGGCCCAGTGGGAGGTGATTTTCCGGTCAGGGCTGAAAGGGTTAACTGTGCAGGGTGGTAGCGTTTCTAGTACTTTCTACGGATGCTGAACATTCAGTCTGGCTGAGCTGAGTCTCCAGCGAACCATGAAACAATTCTACTTGTTTTAAAATAGGTCATGCTTACCACAGTCGGCTTCGTCTGCTCCATCAGCACAGTCACGCAGGCCATCGCAGACGAACGATGGCGACACGCAGCAGTTGGGGCTCATCCGCTTCTCCTCCGCCACGGGACAGGAGCCGGGCGAGGTCGACGAGGAAGCGGAGCACCTCGCGGGCAGTTCGTCGTCGCCACCCGGACAGTGGATGTGCCCATCGCATATGTGATGTGCGGCGATGCAGGTGGGCTCCACATCTGCCGAGCCTTGGTCGCCTAGCTCAGGCTGCGTAATGGGGCAGGAGAAGTGATGTGGAGGACACTCTGGAGGAAAAATGTGCAGAATAAAGATTTCAAATGGGATACAATCATACTGTATACGCATGCAATTCATGTTTGCAGAATGTAGTTAGATGACACGCAGATTGAGTACATGTGCATACATGTATAAGTACTGTAAAGCGTGAAATTTTCGCGGCGTTTTTAGTTCGCGTTTTCAGAATCCGGACAAGTTTGCGAGGTTTTAATTTTGCGAGTGCAAAATTTGCTACTGTGGCATTCATGCTAAACCTTTTATTTTTTGATTGATTTTATTTTTATTTCACGGATCCTCCAGAGGCAAATAGATGCCTATCGAAGGGAGTCTCCTATATAAGTATGGAAAATGAGAAAGTATGTTTTAGGGAGAAGTTGTAGAAGATACATTAGAATATAGAGTACAGAAGAAGTAAATTCAGTACTTCGGGTAGTACATTGCATGCTAATCATAATGAGAATTAGAAAAGCAGCATTGCGGACTACAACCTTTCCGCGGTTGGCAGAGGTTTATCTATAATACTGGTTTTTTAACCAGTGTTAGGTTGTAAAATTATAATACCATGATTGTACATGTATCGGGCGTCCTGCATGTCCCTGAACCGGGACCATGTGAGCCGGGCGTTGCAGTGCATGGATTTTAAACATGGATTGTATGGAAACATGGAGTGCATGGATTTTAAATAGGGCTGAAACAATTATACTGATAACTCGCATATCGATCGCTAAGGGTGCAATCGATAATCGTTAGTGTTCGAAACGAGTGCTAATGATTTCTTACGCATGCATACCAGCAACAGTATTCTAGCCATTGCACTCCATCCGGTAATGAACACGGGTGCAATCATGTACTTTCAAGCGCAGCTAAATTGATTTGTGGCTTTGAAAGAGATCAGGAGAGAAGGCTTTGTCTGTTCGGTTCATTTGTGGGAGAGGTCGGAGATGAAAGAAGTTGCCAGAGGGTGATGAAAAGATTCTTCACTCTGGAAACAAGATGAACTACTCTACAGTCTGTTTCAAAAAGATTAGCAATCAAGTTTGGGTCTTAAAAAGTATGAAGATAAGGGAAATTTGGACAACAAAGTACATAAAACGGCTTGTTAGGACACGGCAAATTGTTCTGTGAAGGTTTCGGAACAATTGGACCAACCATTAAGGAGTTAGTATTTCGGCCAGGTTTCTGGCCTTCTCCCATGGTTTATAATTTGCCCTGGAAGCCAGTATCGATTTGTTATCAAAACCCACGATTTATCCCTTCCTTTTTGGCCTTGTGGTTATGAATGCTGTCTGCTGACCATGAAGTTGTGAGTTCAAATCCCAACAAATCTTCAAGTCAAACATTTTTTCTTCATTTTTTCATTGTTTTGGTGATCACGCTGGTACAAGACAACAAAAATTGAAGAAGGCGGCTGCGCCAAACGACTTGTTGTTGGAGCTCGCGTTTCCTGCTGAACTGACTGACACTTGACTGGCTCACGCCATGTGAAGTTGTGAACACACACAACACTGAAACCGTGTGAGTGAACACGGAAGTCATTGCGCTGTAGCTACGTGTTGTTGAATACACCGGCACATCGATCGATCGATTTCTGTTTGAGAATTATTTTAGTATTTGAAGATCGCCAATTTATTTGAATTTAGGAGTCAACGCCGTCTTCTATCAGCTTTCACAGGCGTCTGCTTTTCTCAAAATGTCGTCGAAGTCACACGGATAGCTTTGCCACTTCAAGGCCTTGGGAATGAGTCTGTGTCGATGCCGTTTTCGTCACATCGTGAGAGTAAATTGCATCCGCGGCAGCTCAAAGAATCTATTTGGTCACAAAACGGACGCATCCCGCTCGTCAAAATTAATTTACCACACTTTGAAGTTTCGACATGTCCTCTCTGACTCCATATCGATACGAGGAAGAACTCGTTTGTTGTAAACCAGACGAACACAAAGTCATGTACGAGTACCGACGTCAGTGAGTTGTCATTTTTCATGCTTTCGCGCGGAATATTTCTTCGAGTTCACAGTGAGTTTTTCCAGGCAGCGCTCGAGCCGTCATACGGTAAGACGGCAAACTCCCCGGGCGATCGCCAGGATTGCTAATCTTTTTGAAACTGACTATAGTTCATGTTGATAAAACCAGCCAGATGTCAACAGTGCGATGCGGCAAGTTTCTAGCGTAGCAAAGGCATTGTGGAATTTCTTCATTATCTGGTATTCGAGCTACATGAGTAGGGCCGACAAGAATTGATAAAACCAATATATCGAGAGTTAATGATATTGGTTGATCGTTAGGAGTTACTGAATGATCGTTTCAGCCCTAATTTTAAACATGGTTAAACCGACTGGTTACACCACTGGGAATATCAGCTCACCATTTGCAGTCTGTGGTGTCGTGATGGCTGCCATCGGCACAGCAACAGATAGCTGCAGCTGGCCGAGAGCTGCAGGTAGAAGAAAACACAATACGTAAACGAACAGGAATATTGAAAACGGCGGGGATCCAAGCGGCAGGAGAAGTGGAGACAGCCTACTGTGATGGCCATGCCGAGTTCATACCGGTATGGCATGCATGTCGAGTAAAACCTGTCAAGGCGACCACTCGGATAAGCCGACCACCTGTCCCAGAAGACCACTGGAACCAGGATCAAGGGATGGAAAATTACCACTCAAATGACCCTTGGCACGGAGACCACCTGGTAATAGAGACCACATTTTGAAGGTCCCTGAGCGGTCGTCTTAGACAGGTTCACTGCATGGTATATTGTACTCTGAATCTTTTCACTTTGTACACTTTGCGATACTTCCCAAAGAGTAGGCTAGGGGATGGAAGAAACGTGAGATCACACAAGCACAAATCCAATTATGTAGCCCTCAAGACTCCATTCCGCAGCTCTCCTACTCGCACAATAGCCAATGCCTTAGCTTGCCCGGACTAGCTATTGTCGTCGCCACTCATATCATAGCTATAGTATACTGTACGAAACATGAAGTGCACACTCTTGTACCGCGTGTGAAGCCCTCCTGCACTCTAGTCCAGGTTATCTATACCGGTTGGCGCTTGGCAGCGATTCAGCGATCCTTCAGATCAGCATCAACTTGACCCAGGGCTAATGTGCATGTACGATCATGTAGTGGAAAGTTCTCGACCGGACGGGTCGCGGAGGAATCCAATGTTATGAGGGGCGAACTCGATCTTGAGATTTTTTTAATTGGTGACTCGACCCACTTCACTTGCTTCTCTGCACCGCCGTTACATGCCCGCGCAGAGCCTTCGCAATCTGGACAAACGTTCTTCACTCATACTATTTTAATTTTCAACAACACTGGACAGACTTGATTACACATGACTGTATGTGATGACTTGGCACACGTACATTATGCATGCACATTATTGTACATCATCAGCAAGGGCAGAAGAACCTCTTTGAACTGTACAACTACGTGTACTTAATACTGCATATGACTAGTATTTCCAAGACAAGGAGCTTATTTTACTCTTGGTATTTCTGGCAAAGAGGGTGCAGAACAAGCACTAGGAAAGAGAAGGCCTTGAAGGCCACAGGCGTATTGCGTAACACTGTCCTGGATATCGGGTCACAGAAGCTTTCAAACTGCATAATTATAGCACAGAAATCAACCCTCTGCCCCTGATACATGATAAGGAGAGTAGGAGCGTGTGTATACTCTCGACGATAATAATTATACCTTGACGAACAACAAACTGCGACTTCTGGGAAGGTTGATACATACTGTGACATATTTGAGTCCACGCCAACCAGCGTACCAATCAGCGTGGCTCCCCACTGTGACCGATACTAAAGGCAATAGTGACTGGTGGTGCGAACATATCGTGTGACCTTCTGGCGCTCGGCCAAGCACGCCGTGACAAACGTGACGCGCTATCATTGATGTGCAGCGGTAAAATAGCTGCGGCGGCAGAGCGCTAGTTCACTCCAATCAAAACTCAAAAAATGTTACCCAATACCTGTGATACTGATAGCAGTCGAAATACCAGCAAAGCTCGAAAGGAATGCCGATAAAGACAGTGTGGATATAGTGACAACTGCCAACGCTCTCCTGATGCGAAGATTTGTAATGTTGTAATGCTCTCGTTGATACCTGTACATATACATGGCATTGTACTTGCAAGCACCAAGAGTATAACTTCCCAGGGCTAATGACTCTTGTAGAAACTGATAGTGCTAGCATGGTGAGACTCTCCGGATGCGAAGTTCACACCAGTTGGCAGGTACTGTAGAGCGGAAAGTTGCGATTTGTTCTTCGTGACCAGCAGAGCTCCATGTACACCAAAAGTTGTTTACAAGGCAAGAACTGATGGTGTCGTTCCAACACCAGATCTGGGTCATTTAGAACTTACTAAGTCTTGAGGATTATCAATTCACACAACGTTATCCATTCCTTGAAGGAGTTCGAAGCTAGACGTTCTAGACTTTGCCTGCAGACTGACACCCTCAGGTTTCACAGCTGACTTTGCACAGTGTGTCTACACTCTACAGACAGTGCACTGCACCAGAGCTAGATGTAGGCTATAGTCTAGTCTAGTAGAGTATGTGCTGAGTCAGTGTTCATGGCGTTCATTGTGCCCGATGGCTCCATTAACCGGTTGTTACAATACCATGTCTTAGTTACATTGTTAGCTTCTTTCTCTCTTTCGAGCCGTGGTTAACTACAATAGTGCTATCAGTTCTATTGCGATGTAGGGCAGATACACTGCAGGAACGTGCTGTCACGTGGGACTTCGATATCTATGGACACGATAAACGCGGCAATTAATTACAGTACAAGCAACTCCATGAACCCTCTCTCCGAACAGCTTGCCCTTTTTTCCCCTACACTGATAGTGATGTCAGTTTGGTGTTTCAGGACCATCGTTATGCGGCTGCCGCTCGAGTGCCTGGGGGCTCGTCTGTAGAGTCGTCAGGTTGAAGCATGATTGTCTACTTGACCGGAGAAAATACATGCTCTCGACGTTGGCCTTTCCCTCTCTTCAACAGCTAAGAGTCAAAGACATTTGAATATAGTGTCCAGAGATCTTAGGAAGAATCTGTCAAATCAGTATTATTCTATTGTTTTCTGAGTATAGCATTAGCAGGACCTCAATCACATGCTATTAATCTGCGGCCGTGATTTCAGACAGCTCTCGAGTCCCGACGCGATGCCATGCAAGGGCATCACGATAATAACAGTGATACTAGATAACACACACAATAGTTATTACAAAAGGCTATTCCGGCTAATTGCAGATAAGACAGTTTGGTTGGAGCCCTCTATTATCTGTGCCACCGACCAGCTGTAGGTCACGTCCCTTGTGCGAGTCCGTGACGACCACGCGTATTCCTCTGCCGGTCAGGAGCGACCATGGTACATACGAGTACATAATTATCTTTCCCAAGTTCAGCTCCCTCAATCTTATGTCAGTTAATACAACTAACTAAACGTTTGACTATGAGTACCTACATACCTGTACAATCATGCACATGCATCATTATTTTAGTACATCTACATATACATCTGTGCCTGATTGTTCTCGCGATGTCAATGCGAAAGTGATCAGTCGCTTTGTCGCTGCAAGTGTCACGGATTTTACATGGTTAAAGTGCGAGCAACACTAACTAAATTTGAAGCAAGTGGAAAATTGGTGTGAACGCTGAAACGTTTTGAAACGTGCTGACTCCTTCTTGGTCCTATCTACATGTAGTACTAGTACCTGTACCTGGCTTTGCAAATCTTCAATGCTGCACTAGGATAGTTGGTTTTCACTACCGCGGCTCCATGCTCTGGGTGGCCTTCTACCATACATGTATTTCACCAGTGACCTTTATTTGACTACTGTATACAGTTCATGTATATAAAAGTACGTGTTTTGTAAATTTTTAACCTTCGCTTCAAACCTATGATTACGTGGAGAAGTGCCTTACAATTCAGTGACCTTGTTCCATGCCCAAAACAAAACTCCACTGGTGAATCACTCTCATTCACGGTCAGAACGGGTGGCTGTGCTTAGAAACGTCCATGGACTTCGGAGAACGCAAGAGATGCACAAAGGGTCGCCTCTCTTCCCGTGTAGCACGCTCAATGTTATAACTAACCAATTGCATGTAGGCACTAGTAAACATATCACAATTAGGTTCGTCAGAAGTTCAACAGCCGTTCCGCAGAAAGCAGGAGTCTCATTGTATCATCGACACACCATTTTCTCCGCACACACAAAAGCACTGCTAATGTTTGTCCAATCTACAAAGCACGGGAGGTCGGCGGTCGTCACTCCTTCAACTGCACATCGGATCGGTTCAGTCCGTTGGCCCGGTGAATTAAGAAAAACACAACCACAGGGGTTATGAACTCTTGCAACCAACCAACCAACCGCACACGCCACCAGGCTCACAAGACTACACAAGTCCTGGTTTAGGGGTCTCATGCTATCGATGGGATACGCCTAGCGCCTGACAAGGGACAGCCCCGCAAACACCCGTCTCACGCCGGCATCAGAGTATACAGGAGGAGGACGTGCCCTAGACGGGCTAAACTATTACGACATTGTTCCACTTACCGGACAGGAGGATAACGGCCGGTAGCGGACACATCTTGATGAAGTCAGACACCCAGGAACACGACATTATAAGCCAAGTTTCTGGGATCTGTGATAATCAAAAAGTTAACCAACCGTGGCGCTGCAGGAGAAAAGTGAGCAAGATACGGCGGCTTCGACCTTCGACTCGCTTGCTTTATACTGCGGACGAACTCGTGGAGGAGGGCATACGTTCGACGCTCATAGTCATACTTACAGCTCGTGCGATTCAAGAGGTTGGCGTTCCCTCTCGATCCGCAGCACCCTTTAGTTTTGGAGAAGGTAGAAACGAATGCTATGGCGCATGGCAGGGCCTCAGCATCATCGCCGGTGTGGGGAGACCATTTTGTATTGCTTGCAGACGATGGTGCCATGGTCCTCCCCTCGCATACTGATGGCTAGCTTCATGTACGTGTACATGTATGTCCAAGGCCAAGTAAGTTAGTTGGGCACTAGCACTAGCTGCTGCAAGTGGAACGCGAGGTGGGCGCGTGGCAGCAATAAAACATCGTCAAGCACACAGTTAGCGCGTGCTCCACAAGCATAGCGGGTCGGTACGCGGTCCGCACTAGAAAGTAGTTACAATAGTTAGTTCGCTCAACACCCCGCGGGGTCACAGGTTCATCTCTTCGAAGGCCGCGAGATAAGCTAGGAAAGGCGGAGGGCCACGGGATCGGAGGTAACCAGTCTACTTCGAGTATGGAGATGAGCAAGTCTTGCCTGGCCATTGAACTGAACATGAAACTCAGGGTTGCAACAAGCTAGCCTTGCTCCCCTGTTATCATGGCTATCATGGTTATACCGTCTGTATACATGTACAGTGCTGACAACTGAAATCCGACCCCCTTGGCGGCGCGGCTCGCCGGCAAGGGGGTCGGATTTCAGTTGTCAGCACTGTACATGTATACACACGGTCTGAAAATGAAATGCACTTCAAATTCATGTACCTGTAATTCTGTATGATTATAATGCAGTACAAGCCTGCCTCATTGAAACAAATGAAAAGCGAACTCCTGTTTGTAAAAGTAGGTTTTTCTCTTATTTCTCGATATAAATGCGAGCGCATGGGCGTGGCTTTCACCGGTCCCAAATACAGGGAAGGATTCATTATACACTAAAAATATTTTGGGATCAACAGCTTGCCCTCGTGATGCTTCAACCCTGATATTTTCAACAGAATCGGACAGAAAGTGGTTTTTGACCTCCGATAAACGGATATCCGTTTCCCACACGCGCACGCACACTTCCCCGCACGCACACTAGCACACGCATGCGCGTACTTACATACACCCATCTCCATACACACCTCTATCCGGTTGTGCACTTTCATTTCTCTCGGGGTTTTTTTTTCTTTTCATTTTTTCACAACCATCACATGTAGCAGAGCTCAAAAGAGATAGAAGCGGAAAGGTTAGCATTTGCTGCCCTGTACGCGAACTGTTCTATTATTATTATTACTCAATCTGCGGACAGCATGCTGTTTCGTTCTTTGTGACCTCCTCAGCGCAGCACAGAGAATATTACTATTATTATTATTATAAACGGATATGATGGTGAATGTGAAGATGCCACTGCTGCTTTACTTACATGTACATGTATGGTCGAATACCATGCATGGTGGAAAAGACACACTTGGTGAAATAGCGGCAACTGCATGCCTACGGTACCCACATAAGGTCTTTTAACTTGAAGGAAGGTATAACAGTTTACTGATTATGCCAACAGCGTGATATTCCTGACGGTGCTAGTGTGTACTCCACCCTGTCATACATGTAATGATGTTGTCAGCATTGTGCAAGTACATTTGTGGGTATTCTCAAGCCCAAGACGCTAACACTGTGACCTAGCAGAGAGCAGAGAGCAGAGTAGAGCTGACCATCAAGCCTACTACTACTGGTACTACAGTACTGGACAGTGGTACTAGTTACCCAGCTCCGTCCTGTGCTGGACTAGTACAGGGTCGCGAGGCGACATCTAGGCTCTGTAGCCTGGAGCTACATGGACATGGAAGACCAATATGCCCCATTGTCGACGGGTGTGTACAATGTACATGTATTATGGAAACGCAGCGTGACAACAATGACCTAGCCGGTTGTCTCTGTTCTCTTCTGCCTTTGTGATAATGCTCCATCCTTGTGGTGTTGAGCACTCTAGTCTAGGCAATCTGGGAACGCTCGCTATTGTATACGGAATACATTTTGAAATAGAGGGAAAGTGTCCGGAGATTCAGTATGCAAAGTTTGTTTGAAGTTTTATTTTACATCGCAAACCAAACGGGCATTGATGCCCAATATTATGATGGCGATAGAATTAAAAGTGTGGCTCGATAAAGCTGCACTTGAGAAAATGAGAAAACAGTCAATAGGAAGTATTTGTACCGGTAATTACAAGTCAAGTTCGAACGAAGTAACAATCAGGGAGAAATAGGAAGATGAGGACCTATGCCAGAGGGAGTGGTACATGAATGACAATCACAGGGAGTGTGGTCAATGACCAGATAGGAAGATCGACCGATAACGACCTTGCATGCTCACCAGTCACCGCGCACTAGGACGTACAGGTAGTACATGACTGTAACGAAACATGTAACATTATAAATTATGGTATTATGGTATTATGGTATTATGCTGTCAAACTAAAAGCATGTATTATGTGCATGGTATACAATCATCATGTACATGTACATGTACATGTAAGCCTTGATTGATAGTGCAAGTGTGTCCTCCCCCTTGCTGTCAATCGTCCAACATGACAGTATGTTACTATGTATCTCATGACCCCTTGCGAATTTAATTAAGTGCTCCACATGAACAAGTACAGTACAATCGAATGTACATGATTGTACATGTACATGTACATGTAGGCACTTCACCCCATTTTTTGAAATCGCGTTTTTTCCAGGTTTATCATCGGTAATCGATGGTGGTGGGTATCACAAGGTCACACAGAAAATTTTATTGAAATCCACAGTGATACCACTCAGATATGAAGGGTTGAAGATAGGCAGTTGCATAAGGCGAAATCAATACAATTTGTGGCACCAACAGCATCTCCGAAGTATCATCAGTGGATATAGTCACAAAACATCAGAGTGTTTTTTTCAAGCACACATCACTCATTTACACCAACAACCCTGTATGGATCGAAACAATACAGATCAAAGTTCAGAATAGGCAAGAATACGGCAATTGTGACCGCAATCACTATAGCAACTCCATAGCAACCCATAGCAACGCCATAGTAACCCATAGTAACAGCTTCAAATTGCTGTGAAATGAACTGATAACGACATACTGGCAGGCTCCTGCGGGTACTAAAGCGTCAGAGCTATAAAGACATTCTTCTGGCACAAAAACAACAGAGAACTTCCTCATTGTACGCCGTACACCACAACGTGGAGGGTAAGTATGCGCGCGTGCGCGCGCGCGCGAATTACTGCACAGGACATTCGTGCCCACAGTCATGCCATCTCAAGTGATTCCAAGTTGGCAAGAAGGTCCTCAGGACCTCTGTTGGTAGCTTCTTTCCATCTGCCTCCCTCTCCTTCAACTGCTCCATGCAGCAGTCATGAATTGCCTGCTGGTGAGCTTTGAAATTTTGGTGAAGCGTGCCTGGCTGCGTATATCAAAGCATCCCCTCATCAGAGGGTTTCTCCAGCAGCCACTGTGCCTTTTGATTGTTCGTAAACATCAGTAGGCCTTTCAGCGCAACCGTGTCAAAACTTGGCTTTCAGTACGCTTTGAGAATTCGCCCAGGTAGGACGACGCATCGTCGTTCTCCTCCGCCTAAAGCGCATACTTCTCAGTGCCTACGTACATAATGTCTCCTTGCGCAGCGATGCGCAAGCCCTGGTAAACAAGAACTCTACTGTTTCCGAATGGAAAGACGACGCTGAAGACGATAAGCAGCGTTTCAAACGCGAGCAAACAACAGTGTGAAAAAACTCTTTGCTGGTAGTGTACGTGATCTACAACTCGCAAAAATGTACGCACTATGACGTATGCGGGATCTACTGAAAGCTGAACGTCAGAGCAACACGATGCGCCCAGCTATCAGCCCGTACAACGAAGCATAGCGCGTACCTGTACAGTTTTGCGCATGCACTTGACTGGTGCCACGCAAGTACGCACTCTCACCTTAGCAAATTTTGACAGGTCCTGTCACGTGACTGAAGTGCCTAGTACATGTATGTAGTTCGCAATCTGTAGAAATGGCGCCCATGCAAAAAAAGCTCAGGGCCAGGGAGCCCTACGCAGGCTACGGCCTACGCGCGTGCATGGTCGCCTACACTAGGGACGGTCATTAATGCCGAGGTACACTGTATTCGACAACTGCCTGGCATACACACGCTCTACAGTTGCACACAATATCCGGAGAGCTACATGCAATTGTTTCCACCTTCAATAACAGGTCTAATCAGTGACAGATGGACTGGCCAAACAGATCGCAATTTAAAAGTCCAGTGAACAGCAAAGCCGTTTCTAAACCGGCTCAAAGCCGCATGATCCGGGTCAGAGTGCTCTAAACAGTGCGAAACACAGCCAGCTTTGCAACAAGGGCAGCAGGTCTTCTCATGCTATCCAGTTTGCCCTATCCGGGCGGGGCAGTCTCGGTTTATACTGAAGTAAAAAAACTAAATAATAATAATAATCTTTATTTCAGGATCAGTGACCCAAAGGCTGACGCCTATCTGGGGGATCTCCTATCTGTGTATGCACTGGTAAAGCCAAAAGGGCAACTAACGCTGTTACTTTGACACCAGGCAGAAAGAGTGCTCTAACAAGTCAGGACAAGGGAGCGTAACTATACATTGTATTCTAGGTACTGTTCCTTCGACCCAGAAGACAATGAGACAGCAGGGGAATAATGAACCACGATGTGAACACGAGGACGGGGTTATGGTAGCACTTTGCGTGCCGTCCCACGGCGAATCCTACTTCATAAATAATTCACCATCACCATGATCGCGTGCCTATAATCACCTGCTCAAGTAGCGTCATCCTTGGGGCAGTTCAAAGTAAAGACATTCATAAGTAAGTGTACCACCCAATCCCCAGACAGATGCCGTTCGCTGTTTGAACCTTGCGTAGGTCTCATCTCCGCATCTTCGCAAACGACTCAAGCCAAGGCAGAGTTAGCTTCCCGTGTGGAGGGTTACTCTTCGCGTATACAATGTACATGTACATCAAGTACAGTGAAACCTGTCTAAGACGACCGCTCCAGGGACCTTCAAAACGTGGTCTCAGTTACCAGGTGGTCTCCTTATCCAGGGTCATTTGACTGGAAATAGCATCCCTTGGTCCTGGTTTCAGTGGTCTTCTGGTACAGGTGGTCACCTTATCCGAGTGGTCGCCTTGACAGGTTTTGCTGTACAGTCAATGCCGCGAGTAACAACCTCGGATACAGCAGCAACAACTCGCGAATAAACACAACATGCACTATCTTGCAGTACCGGTATAATAGTAATTACTACTGTGAAGGACCGAGAACACTGTTCAGCTGTAGGCATTGGTGGATTATGCTCGAAAACCTGGCAGATTCTGCTCGAAAAGGAGTGAAATTGGCAGAACCATACCAACCTTATGGTGGGCAAATTCCTCGAATTCTGCTCCATTTCTTTATCCACATAGCAAACATGCATGAAACTTACCAGAAAAAGTACCGAATTCTGCCAATTTTTCTGCCGGCATTATCCGCATATGCCGATTCAGCTGTGACCCAAAGGTTCGCGACGAAGCTCTCATGAACAGAATATGACTGCATTGTCCACTGGCGCATTCTTTCTCACTTGCACGAAGTCACTCACAAAGCTATAGCAGTGCTATTACTGACTATAATTATCACATACCGGTATATCCATAGGACATCTTGGTCAGTGTTGTCCAGGGAGACGTACTCAAACCACTGGTTTACTATATTGCACTGTATTTAGGTACGACTCCCTGGTGTTGTCCAATGATCGCTGTGTGCGTGAAACTCCGAGTTATTGCTACACAGTCTCTTCACTTACTGTATGCTGAATGGAGCTCCGCTTAGTGAACTGTGTCCAATTCCAATGTACATGACTATGTTCACAACAAATTACTTACTTGCCACGGCACAGGTGTAGTTACCATGTGCCAGGCAGACTGAGTCAATAATACTAGTATTAGTAAAGCATTTCATCGCTGACCGGCAGACTCAAAGACAGGGTTTATTTTTTATCGATGTTCAAACGCAAAGGTCGCCCGCCGTCTTGCGGCCTGTGCCTGTCCAAGTCAATCTGTTCAAACCCGCACTGTCGGTCTGCATCCGGAACAAATTTACTTCGAAGTAACAGTACCGGTGCATGTGAATCGCTTTCGCAAGTAATTCTATTATTGCCCTCGACACATCCTCGTGAGCAGCCCGATGTTATCGTAACCACAACATGGCTGTATACCGGTAATCAGTCAATCAGTAATCTAGTGAATATTGATGTGTGTTCTGTGTGTGCTGTGTGTACTGTATTGGGAACCAGGTCGAGGACACGTCAGTGTGTGGATATTGCCTGATCACACAATGGTTATGACATCCAGTGGAAAATGGCGCTGTGCTGCGGATTCTAGTGCTGCTACCTGGGAGGGATGAGGTCCTTCCGCGGCAAGTCAGTGTGGGCCTAATGTATAGTGCTATGCGGAGCAAAATACGGCATGCAGCGATGAGTATGCAAATAATTGTTTCAACGCTGCTATGCTTGATACGCAGTAGCGAGCAGCCCGCACGAGTGTGCGTGACTTGATATACACACATTTACTCAATCTGCGGACAGAACTGTTTCGTCCTTTGTGGACTCGTCACACACATTTACCATAGCGAGAGGGTAATGTGCGGGTTTTGAAGTTTTGAACACATTTCGACAAGGAAGACACCGGATGTGGCGTGTCGGGCCGGTCGTTGTCAGCCTTCGCCGGTTTCGTTTGCCAGCTCCCAAGCTTGAAAACTACGCACTTTCTTCCTTGGGTAGTTCTGTCTGCTACACACATACTGTGCCTAGTTTGGGTAGAGGGCGACCAGCCATAGAAACATAATGTGGTACACACGCACTGTTACCCTAGGTCGTGACAAACTGTGAAAGCACACAGCACAGTCATGGGCCTTGGCAATCATTATTGCTCGAGTCTGAACGAATTACCTTCGATCTGGAAGTTTAGGTCCAAATGTTACATCATGAAGCAGAACACATGCACGTGGTCGCAAAGCGTTGCCGCGGATGATGCGCAGCCTGTTTGCTTTGTCGACACATCTAAACCAGGACTCGGCAGGAGAAGGTCGCGAGGTGGTACTTGCTGCAAGTGAGTCTGGACAAAGGACCCGGCCGTATGGTGCGATCCAAGCAAGGCGAGGAAGAAGCGTGCTTTTCTCATGCCAACCTTCTGTCCACATCATGGCCACGCGTCCTCCATCACCATCACGAACAGGTACAGTACTTGGTTGACAAGATTCGTGGCGGTGAGATCAGATTCGTCTGAGGGAGCAATCAAAGTTTCTCTTCAAGAACCCGCAGGCTCGAACCAGTAATCATACGAAGGCCGGTGCTTTCCCTACAGCTCTTTTGGGGAATCTAGTAAGAGGGTTGTGGCTGTTCACCTCCGATACCAGAGGGCCGTAGGAAAACCGCATGAACCGAATATCGCTGATAGGATGGTGGACTGATCATGCGCGCACTCTGCGTTTAGTTCATATTAAAACCAACACCAACCAAGTACATGACATTGTACAGGCAACTTACTTCGCGTATAACGACACTCGGCGGGGCATCAAAAAGGTGTCCTTATTCGCGAAGTGTCGTTATACCCGAAGTCTCATCATTATGTATTACAGTGGGATGGGACTTTGCTCTGGGCATGGAAATTCTGTCGTTATTCACGATTAATTTTGTCGTTCTATCCGCAGTCGTTATTAGCGAAGTAAGCTTAGTTGATTGTACATGTAATGACACTGCATAGGCGGTTCATGACACAACCTTCTGACATCGTTTCACGGGGATATGACGTTTTAATATTGCACGCATATCCCGGGTGGCGATGGTGATCAGCCCGTCTCAAGCGCTACTCCCTCGTAGACTAGGAGAGGCTTCCAGAGCAGGTAGTGCAGGTTTATCTACTAGCTATTTTGATAAGGACATTGGCCCGATAGGGTTTTTGTGTGCACCATAGCACATCTTTCGTAAGTTTCGAGTTCTTCATTCACATTCGAGTAGTTCTGCAACTCCCAGCTCCATGCGTATCGTTCACCTCCTCTCTTCTGTCCTACACACTCGTTGGTCTTTCCGCAGCATATACATGTAGATCGCCCCCCCCCCCCCCCCCCCCCCCCCCAAGTAGAGAAGCTCGGAAGGTAGAAACATCGCTCTGCTTTCCACACAGAGTCAGTAGGCGACTTGCAATGTTCAAAGCAGTGCTCATTATCCGAAGTGTGTGGGGTAGAGATCTCTAACACGAGTCAGAAGATGCTTGTTCTTTCCTTGTGTTTCTTTAAATCCAACTGTTCACACTCACTTTGCGTACTTTCTCTCTTCTCCTTTACTATGTTACTAGTAGTACTCGAAGTGCATACACAAATAGGAGATACCCCTGATAGGCCTTTGGGTAATCCTGAAACAAAGATTAGAATAATTATAATTATTTATAGAAAAGAAAAAGGACCAAGGAACTACAAGTTCCTTGGTCCTTTTTCTTTTCAATAAATTTATCCTTGGCTCTCCATCCGAGTCCATATTTAATATTTTAATATAATTATTATATTATTAGAATGGTGGGTTGTAACTTGTAACTACAAAAGTGTGTACGACCTTCATTCTGAGCCATCACCAGGCAACCTGGCAATATCAAACGGGGAAGAAGTTCTTTTATATAATTATTGCAAGGCCAGTCTGTGTTTGGTAGTGGCTTGCTGCCTTGACTGGTGTGGACCGATTGAAGGTGGTGAATCATGGCAGAAATAGTGGTCTGCTATGCCGCAAATAAGATGGTGGGTTCTGCATTCCATGTTAGAAAGATCTGTCCAATGGGTGTCGAGGTGTGAGCAGAACAGTGTGTGTGTCTGTCTGTATGTGTGTGTGTGTGTGTGTGTGTGTGTGTGTGTGTGTGTGTGTGTGTGTGTGTGTGTGTGTGTGTGAGAGTGTATGTGTGTCTGCCATCTGTCTGTCTGTCTGTCTGTCTGTCTCTCTCTGTCTCAGGATTTCATTTAATCTTTTCTTATTATTTCAGCACACAGTGATGGATACCATAATGGCTGCATCGTCCTCAAGCAATCCTGTTGCAGAACATGCACATGCCATTCTGTGTAAGTAACGAGTTTAGCTGGGAGCACAGTACTTTCCGAATCCTGCGCTGTAGTCGCTCAACAGGAGCACACGTTCATGCATTGGGCATTTCCAGCATCGATAGGTTGTGGCGATAGGTTGCGGTTATAGTTGAGAATCAAATAATTGAAAAAAAGAAAAGATATATAAGGCGAGAAACAAAACCCTTTCAGAAAAAAAACTCGTATGTGGCATTAAAATTGAATAGGAGATATCACTTTAAAAAAAAGGAGAGAAGCTATCGTACATGAAAAACTCAACAGCAGATTGAAGGTCAGTATTGTGCGTGTACGCGCAAGTGTTGGTTTAGTCTAACTCCTGGTTCGCAGCAGCGTCAGCCGCAGTGCAAGCCAGGTCGGGCAAATCCTCGTCATCGACTCCGAGTAGATGCTCGTGCCCATGGTTGACATCCTCCTCCTCCTCCTCTTCTCCCTCACCGCCGTCATCGTCGGCAACGTCGACGAAGCTCTGCTTGAGCGAGGCTATCCGCACAGCTTGCCGGTCGCCTACGGAGTGCGGCGGCTTCTTCACAGCGCCGCGATGTCTGATGCGCACGCGTACAGAGTTAAGGGCAAGGCCACACACCATGGTTGCTTAACCCTTTCAGCACGCATCACGTATATGTACGTGATGGTACATGTAACTGGCCCACGGATCACGTATATATACGTGATGCGTACAGTGAAAATGAACGTACTCCCGAGACATCCGTGGTCGACGGATCTTATCCCTACGTGGACCAGTGACGTGCTGGATGAACGTCGACTGTTCTATGATAGTACTGACGGGCGCACGTGTGCCGCTATGCACGCGTACTAGTACATAGATGTCGCGTGCGAACATGCATTCCGCAGAAAAATTGTGAGTGAATAGGACTACTTTTGGAAAATCACGAAAATCACTGGTTTTGGCTCCGCGGGTCAGTTGCACACCCTGGCCGTGCTGAAAGGGTTATGAGTTGAGACACCGGTACGCGGTGAACAGCTTCTATATACTATAAGTCAACAAATATCCGGCGCATATTTATTTTCGCCTATTTTCGGCATGGTCATATTTCCCGAAAATTCGTTGCGGCCGATTATTTTGTTTTGCAAGGTTCAGTGTGACAGTGTATCAGGCGGCAGCAATACAGGCCGAAGATTTAATGCGGCTGAAATGGGTTTTAGCCCTGGGAGGCTGAAATTCGAATCGGCCGAAGATTTGTAGACTCACAGTGCAATGTGATAAAAAAAGGAAAAAAAAAAACAGCACACAAAGACTACATGTACAGTCCCGGCGGGGGAGAAATCCGACACCTCATGAACGTAATAGCAACGTGGACTGCGCGAGCCTAGCACCACTCACCGCACTTCAGCGGGCCGCGCTACTTTATTCATCCGGATTTCTCCGGCCAGAACTGTACACTCACTAATGTGAATGCCACCGGCGAGACTATCGTGAACGTCAACAGCATTGACGTGCAGTTTTTTTCTCGCAACTTTTGGCAAGGTCACCCTTAGGGGTTTTGACGACGCCAATGTGCTCGCACAATGCTAGACTTTTTCAAAGCTTGGGGAGTCACTTTGTACTGTCGTGGTCTGTTGATCCGCGCGCTCTCCTATTTCCATCCCTGTCGATTTTCTCCCCGTTACAAGTATATTGTAGAGTGACTCTGGCGAACAAGTCAAGATACAACACGTGCGAGCGCAGACGTTCCTGTGGATGGAATTGTGCACACACCAGTACTGCAAGTCTGACCTTTTTTTTTTTCTTTTTTCGCGTTTTAAGCGATACTTCGCTTGATGGACTAGATACAGGCCCGTCGGAACCGGTCCGGTTGGTCAGGTTATTACCGGACCAACGTTTCAGCCACCAACATGTGTTTCCTACTATGGAGGGTGTGTGTACCCGCCATACCATACACAAACTGTATGAACGGCCGTGATACTACCGGATCAATCAAAAACTGCTTCCGGCGGTCCTGAGATATACTTCCTGTGCGTGCTGAAACACAAGCCTGGAAGCGACATAGCGTGGGGTGGATCAATGGTACTTGACAGTGTTTCCAATTCTAGGTTTGGGAGCAATGTAGAACTCCTCAAGGAACTCTCGCATGCAGGTCCGTATACCGATGTTCTTGCAGTGCTCAAAGATGAAAATCAGGCGCATGACTTCATGGTGAACAAAATAACTCCGAAAAAGACATTCCAAGAAAGAAAGAAAAACAAGTGGCGCATATCTTGTTCGCACTCGTACTCCTTTATCATGGTAAAGCATGAAGAGACCAAAAGAAAAAAAGTAACGTTCCCACACCGGGAATCGAACCCGGGCCGCGGCGGTGAGAGCGCCGAATCCTAACCACTAGACCATATGGGAGACACATTATTGCTCCTGGAGGAAGAGCAATTTCTCAGCGCCTTTTACCTGTTTACAGCCAGGCAGGCATAGTGGGATGGTCTAATACCATGATTGAGAAACAGAGGGTACCAGGTTCAAGTCCTGCTTGGAAGCGGAAGGATTTTTCCAGCCGTGCTGCGATCCACAGTTAATTGGGAACTCGTGGCCTGGCACGAGGAAAACATGGATGCAGTGAATGGGATTTTCGGTCTTTGACCACTTGCTGGTGAGCTGATCTACTCACCTCCCACCGCTTTAGGAGCTGCATCTGCGCCTTGATCCTTGAAGGGTGGTGGCGTTCCTACGGATGCGGAAAACCCGGCTTCCAGCCGAGTCTCACGCGAACCGTGAATTTTTTTTTTTTTTTTTTTTTACAGCCAGACGTGCCCAATGCGTTGTTTAGGCGGTATTAATTTTAGTACTATTTACACACAAACACAAACACACACAAACACACACATACACACACACACACACACACACACACACACACACACACACACATGCACAATCTCCGTGTGCAGCGTACTACAAATCGAACCGTCTATCTTGCACTCTGGCAAGGTAGACGGACATTGGGTTGGGGTTCAAAATCCCACTCAAGGGCCGCCCAGAAACAAAATTGTGCAGGGGCGGGGAGGAGGAGTAGGGGACCACCACAACATGATAATGATAGTTTGGCAAGGATACTGTTGAAACTCCGCCGGTAATGTGCCGGGCAGTGGACCAATGTTGTACTTGCCCACCGTCTTCTTCAAGTGCTCCTCCGCGTTCTTACGCTCAATTTCCTGCACACATGTGAACGAGACGCAGATGCAAAGGACGGCGTCATTGAAGCGAAGCCTGGCGGCAGCTGCCTTGTGCATTAGCAGAATAAGTTTGAAGATATGCGTACTGACAAGGCAGTCGCTCCATAGAGAAATCGGCTGTTGTATGGAAACGACGTGTCAGTTGCAGCATGCAAAGCTCAAGTGTGAAAAGTACACATCTGAGAGTAGCCAGAGCATTCTCTTCAACAGAAGCTAGCTGCACATGGAAATAGCTGATCCTGCACCATGCAAAACTCATCTGTATGTACGGTCAATACTCTACGCAGCCGCCGCGGCAGCCTTCGGGCTATACTAGCAAACTATACTGCTGCTCAATGAAATCCGATTGTATGTGCCAAGTTTGCACCCTGCAAGTTCAAAATGTGCAAAATCATGGCTATAGTTGAGAAGAAATCCAATCGTGTGTGCCAGGTTTGCACCCTGCAAGTTCAAAATGTGCAAAATCATGGCTATAGTTGAGAAGAAATGGCTACAGGTCTAGATTGCCATGCTATATTCCAAGTGTGGAGTGATGCAGACACAACTACAGTCAGACCTCGCTTATCCGGTCCTCTTTTACCTGGATCCCTCGCCATCCGGAAGAAAGCAGCTGGTTATAATACAGATTTACAGCATACGTGGTGCATCCAACATAGCCGGTGTTCGATTATCCGGTTCCCTCGCCTATCCGGATATTTTAAATTAATGGAAAACGGATGGGTGTGAGGTCAGACTGTCCCGTGTCTTGCATTAACGCCTGTCTCATATAGAAGCCTGTACCGTAAACTGCCTAATATCCGCGGCGGATTAATGTCCGCTATTTTCGCGAGAAGAGCGTAACGCGAATATTAACCAGCGTGAACTCTAACTTCAACAGTGGGAGGGTGTACAGTCAACTTTGCGTATAACGACACTCGGCGGGGCATCAGAAAAGTGTCGTTATTTGCGAAGTGTCCTTATGCCCGAAGTCTCATTATAATGTATTACAGTTGATTTGGGCTTTGCCCTGGGCATGGAAATTCTGTCGCTATTCGCGAATTGTCGTTATATCCGCAGTCGTTATTAGCCAAGTTGACTGTATGTAAGTGGCCCCAGTGCTTCGCGAACTTTTGCCATCGCAAACTCGCTGGTTCTAAGAAATCGCGAAAATTTAGTGACGCGAATATTGGGCGGTATACAGTATTAAATACACGCCTGATTTTCAAGATTATTATACTGTCTTGTATAGAAGCCTCTCTCATATAGAATCCTGCAAAATTCCCCAAGAAAGTCATATAAGCCGCGGCTTTTATACACGACTTTACGGGTATGAACACACACACACACACCCACACACACACGCACCCACGCACGCACGCACGCACGCACACACACACACATTCCCAGTTGTCACCTCTCTCAGACTCTGCAATCTCAAGCTGGCTACTACCCAGGATAACGCACAGCACTCACCTTGAGACGTTTCTCTTGATCTTGGAGAAGAACTGCCGACTCATCTAGCGACAAGACTTTCGATTTCTACACAGCCCACAGACAAAGTAGGAAAAGAGCCAGTTCTCTAGTCAGACCATGTATGCCGAGCTGCATCAACTCAAATCCGTGTGCTAGCCAGCCGAGAGCTTCGAGGGGCCAAAGTGACACGGCTTTGGTCAATCATAACATCCAACAGCTACAGGAAAAGAAGAATACAGAGTTTGTAATGGACTCGAGGACACAGCTCGGCAACGAGAGCCAATACGCCTGGCTTGAATCCTAGCGGAAACAGCCAGTTGAGTTTACAGTAAAACCTGTCAAGGCGACCACTTGGGTAAGGCGACCACCTGTCCTCGAAGACCACTGAAACCAGGACCAAGGAATGCTATTTCCAGTCAAATGACCCTGGATGAGGAGACCACCTGGTGACAGAGACCACGTTTTGAACGTCCCTTGAGCGGCCGTCTTAGACAGGGTTTACTGTAATCAGTTTAACACCACGGCCACTCTCATCTCCTTCAAGCCTGTTAGCTCCGTCCTGACAGAGCAATCGCCAGGAGCGCTGGATACAGCATCCGGCACCCAGGTTTTCTTATCAGTGTTGTCCGATGATCGCCTCGTGTGCGAAACTCGAAGCTACAACACAATCTTCGTCCTCTTCCTGTGTGTCTTTGGATACTAGTACTTAGGTGCCCATGATTAGCAAGGCGCTGTGTCCTTGGACATCAGCACCCTGGAGTGGAGTACTGTAAGTATTATTATTATTATACGCTTGTCCGCGTTGACATCACCAAGCAAGCTTGGCTACATAGTCTTCGCATAAGCCAAATGAACAAAAGAAATGAGGATTGTAAGTAGATACCCAAAATAGTAGTTGACAAACACAATGGAAGGAATTCGGGTGGACACACCCGAATTCCTTTCACAGATGAAGCTGCAGGAAGCCTCAGCCGTTCTTCAAACACAATGAAACAATGACAAGAAAACCAAAGCTATAGCCAAGAAACGCAGCAATTTTAGAACGAAAACCCACCGTTGGTGCTGACTGTATGATTCGTTCCCGCACGGCAGCAATGTCCTTAGCTGGACGGCGTTTCGTTGCAGAGCCCGATGAGTTCTGCGGGGTGCCAGCTGCACTATTCTTACTGCCAGTGAAGGCTGTGGTACTGTCCGACGCGTCAGCAACTGGCTGGCGATCCCCTGCTGGTTCATCGTCAGGAATAGCAACGCTGCTTCTTTCTGCCACCTGGGTCAGCAACAAGCCAGGGGGGGGGGGGGGGGGCAGAGAATGAATGAGTGAGATAGACAGATAAGAAGATAGATAGAAACAAATATAGAAGATAGATAGAAACAAAGAGAGAGGGAGTGAGTGAGTAAGTGAGGAGAGAGAGAGAGAGAGAGAGAGAGAGAGAGAGAGAGAGAGAGAGAGAGAGAGAGAGAGAGAGAGAGAGAGAGAGAGAGAGAGAGAGAGTAAGTTACATTTATAAAGACAGGTAAGTCTAACAAATGAGGACTGAGACCTCTACAACAGGGTTTTTACGCCTGAAAGCAGGTGCATGATTTAACAAGCAGGTTGTCAGTCTAGATTTTATGCGCAGATGGAGAAAAAGCACAGAATTTTTGTAATGAGATGAAAAGCAGAAATAATAAGAAATAATAAGAAAAGATGAAATGAAAGCCTGCTCACAACCCCGCCCAGCCTTGCGAACTGGGTATGGTGGATTAAGAACCCGGTTCAACGCTCGAGCAAGCGCTCTCCACTCAAGGTGTTCACAGCAACTGATAGGAACTCATATGGGGAAATTATAGAAAAGAAATAATAAGATAAAGAGAATAAATTTCAACGCACCTCGATAAACGGAGCCCCACATACAGTACCTCAAAAAAGTGGATCTTCCGACCAGTGTTTTTGTTGACGTCGCAACCAGATGATGTAGCTGCTTCGCAGAGACGTCTTACTGCACAAATTACAAATAAATTTTATTCTTCGATTAGAAAACCCAAGCGCTTTCAGAGCCCTCCGAAGAGAGTCCGGGATGAAACCACGCACACCTACCTCAACCGAAAAAGAAATGACCTGCCACCCGTTTGCTCGGCATTGATCGGCCAGATCCGCATACCGCCTGTCCTTCCGCGAGTTACTGACACTGAATCTGTCCTCAGCACAAACTGTCAACTCCATCCAGAATACAATCCTACGACTCGTAGAGTACAGAACTATATCTGGTCTTAGGGTGGTAAGTGCAACACAGCTAGGGAAAGAAATCTTTGCACTAACTGAGTCGACAAGAAGTTTCCAGTCTGAGGCCGCTGACAGGAGATCAGTCATAACCAACTTCCGTCTGGGCTGAACGCGAACTGACTTCTCTCCCGCCTTGCAAAACGAGATGAAGTCAAGCTCATTTGAATTTTCGGTTTGTACGGTGTTTGCAGCAGTGCGGATTCGAATCTCCTCACGCATGTTCCTGACGATGACCCCGAGTACGTTGTCGTGCCGCCAGGTGTAACGTCCCTGGTCCAGCGCTACGCGACAAGCGCCAAGCATGAGAGAGAGAGAGAGAGAGAGAGAGAGAGAGAGAGAGAGGGAGAGAGAGAGAGAGAGGGAGAAATTTAAATGCTTCTTTGCTACCAAATGATGCACCATCCGGCCCGACGGAACCGGTCAGGTAATCACCGGACCAAACGTTTTGGCCATCAGTGCATGTTTACTGCTGAGGCGCACCAGCTATATGATACGCAAAGTATGAATGGCTAGGGTATAGCCGGACCAATCAAGAGCCGCTTCCGGCTGTCCTTTAACTTCTGACCAGCATAAACACTCCAAGCCAGTTTCACCAGCAAGCCCGCACTATGCAGAGCCTTATTCTGGGCAAACACTGGACACAAATCCAAACTGCCAGAGATTTGCCATGCAGCGTGACCATCTTCCTGCACTGGCTGCAGGCCAGAGATATTGCTGCGTGCAAAGCAGCGTAGATCCGTCAGCACTGGCTGCAAACTCACCTCATGCCGAGTAACCCGCCGTGTTTGATTGAGCATAGGATGTGGGTCGGTGTCCTCGCTTGTAGCACCGCTGCCGTCCAGCGTCATGGCCTCGAGGGTTTTAGCGGCCTGGTCGATGGACTCCCTGCCGTCCAGGGCAGCACTCAGGTCTGCGACTTGCTGCCGAATCTTGGCGCCTTTGTCGGGCAGACGCTGCACCAATGCTCTGTGAGGACAGGGACGAGAAAAAAAATGATTGGCTTAGTGTCATGAAGCTGGCTAACAACGGGACCAAGCTACCCACCATTGTCAACTTGTGTCTTTAATAGCTACGAGTATCTACATGACAGTCTGAGTACCACGAAGTGACAAATTGGTATGCAATCGCTCACTAGCGTCTTGGAATGGTATTCATCCAAAGAGAAAGAGAAATCCAATGCACTGGAAGTAGTAGACAACTGTCAGAGTGTGGGACAAAAGGCCTGAGCGGTTCAGATCAAAACCAACATGGCTGTCCTGTATGGTCATGTGACCGATGTGAAACCACTCTTTAAGAAGACATGAAGACCAAGGAGCCACAAGTTACGCTATAATGTCCACGAACACCACCAGTTACTTTACAATCGGCTCATGCGATAACATTGCACGACACTGACCCATGGTACTGACGTTCTACACCTAACTTGTAGCGTAACTTGTAGTTCCTTCTTTAGGAATGGGTTTGCTCCCAGACTGGAGCTCGCGCTATTCCGCCGACGACTTGACACTTCACTGACTCACGACTGTTCCTGGGTCTTCATTTCTTCTTATAAATTAATCCTGGTCTCCCCCCCCCCCCCAAGTCTAACTATGATATCACTCTATTCCACATTCCGTCGCAGCGTATGCAGGTGGTACGCGAGTGCACGTACGGGTTGGCAAGGATCTTCCGCTGGCGGTCTAGCCGCTCTTTCAGCTGGAACACCGGCATGTGCTTCAGCTCTCCCTTGGACGCTGGCCGCTGTGGAATGCTCTCAAACAATGACTGTGCACAGGAATGCAGTGCAAGGGAAAGAAGAAAAAACACACATGATGGATGATAGTCTTCTTCAAGACCCAAGGCTCCAATACAAACAAATCATCAGGGGCGTAGGACTGTATTATAGTGTGGTACGGTCAACATTTTCTAACATTAAAAGTTGGACGGGTCTTCCCTTGCATGCCCTCTCTCATGCAGCACACGATAGAGTTGGATTCAGAGACATCATTCACAATTCTCTCGCTGATTAATGCCTCTACGATCACCTTGTGATTATGAGTTATACATACATACATACATACATACGGTCAACCATCTCAAGTAACATTTTCTCGTGGTGAGGGGTGGCTGGGCCGACTATTTTTTCGAAATTTAGAGCCCAGATAAGTGCATTTTATTGGTTCACGGGGTCCTGGGCACAGAGCAGTACGGTCCATACCGTTGTGACTGTACTGTGTCCCACGCCCCCGAGGATTCATGTCAGTGCAGAGAAAGTGTCCACGGAAAGCCTCAAGCCAAGGCAAGAATTACGCCTGGGAATACCCAGGATTGTGGATGAATGCATGTATATTTATTGGCTACCCAATCCAGCAAGTGAACCGAAGATTGACCCTTGCTTGGCAGGTCTAGATGGAAGTCTAGTCTCCCGACGGACTCACCAGGGGAAAGTGAGGGCCTCCGAATCCAGCAGGCATCTTGTAGCCACTGGGAATAACTGGGAGTGTCACTATGCTCTGCAGTTTTAACACGTCTCCAAATATTTGACAACAGCAGGAAAACTGCTGCTGCTGTGTGATTACTCAGGTGGTTGACCTTTTTTTTCATTGTGAGAATGAGCAAAGTTGGAGGAGTGCACATATTACATCCATAATGTTAATCTGGTTCGAAACAGCTAGCTGTCCAGAGTTTGAGCACGAGGTTAAATTGTTAATCTCTGCATGCATTTGGAGGCATTAGTAAGCTCAGCAAAACCTGTGTATAGTATCATGAAAGCTGTCAGTACCAGCTCAGCACACCAGCACAGTCCAGTGACTCACTTTCTGCATCGTGAACGGAGAAGCAAAACGCGACTGGTGCGATTGTTGTTGTTGCTGTTTTCCAGTCCAGCTATTAGGAACCGTAAGCCGGATGGCGTCTTCCCTGTGCACAATCGCAGATCTACGCCACACGGATGAACAACAACTACAAACTCTATTTTTCGAGATTGAAACTAGTGCTAGTTCGGTTGTCTCTCCCAAACCAATGTACTAGTCTAGTAGCCAGGACACCTCTGTCTAGTTAATAATGCAGAACGGTGGCTTCCAAGGACAAGCTGAAGCTAGAGTACTGGCAGATCTACTTGTTGACTTTGGTGCGGATAAAAAGTCACAAAGAAGAAGGAAGCTCTGCACAGACACGCGTATGTCTACATGACGTCTCTTTCTAAAATTTATGAATATTTGAATGAGCCAAGCTTTCGCAGATCTGGCTCATTTCTGGCTTCCATCTTGGTTTCCATGGAAAGTCGTTTGGGAAATTACGTCATACCCCTAAAAGGATCACACGTCATACATAATTTTCACACACGTCATCGATCAGGGTAATGAAAATAATTTCAAATATTGTTCTGAAAATGCATTAGCAGCTAAAACTTCTGTGAGTGTGTATCTCTGTCTCGTGTCGGGTCTGCTCCCCGGCTGGGAAATTGCTTCCACTTCCACGCCAGAAGGAACGGCTGGAGAGACAATTTGCAACTATCCCGCATAGGACTGAGCTAGGTACGTAGCTCATTTCTGGTCGCCAAAAATATTGTGTCTTCTCAAAGTTGTTTTCGCAGATTATTTTTTGTATGAAACTGGGTTCCAATTCCACTACATTGTAGTTTGACTTTTTAAGCTGCTTTGCGACGTTGTTTTGCATGTACTGGCCATGGATTCATGAAGCCCATCACCACACTGTAGCCACTTGATATTTTTAGTTACTGAGTCACTGAGTCAATTGCCAACTTGGCCACGTGCCACGTGTTTTGGGGTACATGTACTGTACTATGTTTTTCGATTTTGACAGCATGTTACAAGGCGAGAGCTGTCAAAATCGAAAAACATGTTTAACTACCAGAGCAAGGCTTCTGTGTATATACCATGTACTGTACTAGTGACTCGTTCATACAAAAAACCCTCGGATAAAGTTGTCATAAATTTACTCTTCTTTGCTGAACGTGCATGACGTCATGGGCGAGCAATTAACCCAGAGTCCCTGGCACTTGGTTGGCCAATCATGCAGGGGCGTCGGAAGGTATTTTCGGGTGGTACGGTCAACAATCGGAAGTGCATCTTTGGTGGATTTTACTTTGGCTCCCTGAAGAATTTGTGTACGAGTACAGGGGCGTACTGAGCAGCCTGTCCGGCCGGTCCGGCTTTGGAGGGATCCCTTTTTTTAACACAATGCCAAAAGTGCCCAGAATGCAGGATTTGCACCCAAATTTCAAAATTTTCACGGGGAGACCCCCGGGCCCCCCTCCAACCAGACGACCTCCAACGGCAGTGCTACGCGCTTGGAGTAATCATACCCGGACGGACAAACTAATTGCATTTTTTGGAATACACCGTCAAGGCCACGTGACCTGGAGCAAAACGCAAAACGTGGTATTCAAGGTAGCCCTGGCACTCCTTCCTTTTTGGCAGAAGCCCGTGAGCTTCTCGTATTGTCCGCAAACCGTCCAACGCAGGCACTTACACATTATGAAACCTCACGCAAGCACAATCCTGTAGTAATCCTGATGCTCTGATGCATGCCGAGGCTAGCTGTGCTCAGTCTCCGGCTAGCTGTATGCTCAGGATGCATTCTTGATCTTCTCTTCTTCTTCTTTTTTTTTCCTTTCTCTTTTCTTTAAAATGTTTTACTGCCAGAAGTCGTCTTCATATAAGGAGGCAGATATGCCTGTTTGTTGTACGACTTTAAATAAATCCAACCAACCAACCACTCCAATAGCGGTCTCTTCACTGCGAATCAAATCGATTATGTTCCACCAAGTTTTCGTGCCCAGCCTGTCATCAGGGTGATGAGAACAAACCGTTATTGGACTGTTTTTGGGCGAGGTTTCATGAAGGCCAGTGAGTCCTAGCGTATAAGGAGACAACCCAGGTGCGTGGAATGTGAAGCTATGCCGGTATGGCTACTGGGCTGCCCGTTCCAGGTGCACCCGGGGCAGTGTTCATGTAGGTATACTTACATGATTGTGCTATCGGTGATCTTGGTTGCGTTGGGCCAAGCAGGTCACGGCCTCGATCGGAAAACAAATTCACCGTTCGCTTTACACTCGGTTAGACCGAGCTTCCGCATCCGTAGGGAGACCACCTCCCTCATGGATCAAATGTGCGGATTCAGCTCCTAAAGCGGTGGGAGGTGAGTAGATCAGACCCACCGCAAAGCGTAAGGCATGCAGCTGAGCATGTAGGGTGACAAGAACGGATCTAGGGGCTTCAGGCGAGGGCGCAAGCACACGATTACTCATTGGTATGGCCACATATGCACATGGTGCTCCGGTGAATCACTCCAACGCAAGAATGCTGCAGCGCTGGACTAGGTGGCCTCATGTCTAATGCTGGGTGGTCAAAGACCGAAAGTCACGGAAAGGGCATCCTATAAACGATGACCATACCTGAATTTGGTTTTAGCACGGACTAGCAGTCTTAATTTGTGGAGATAAAATAACAAGTTATATCCTGTAGGCTTCAGACATCGTAAAGACAGTACTGACGAGTAGATCATTGAGCCGTTGTACCAAGAGTACATAACCCCCCTCCCAAGAGTGTGCAACACCACTACGGGTGCTGTCCCGACAGAATTCCGGACGTCATTGTTATGATGCAATGCGCACGGTACACGTCGCATCTGAGGCATCTTGAACCCGTGTTGGACGAAGCCATATTTGATCCTGTACAAACTACATGTAGTTCAGAGAAAACGTGTGATGTGTTGACACCCCGTACAAATGTCGCAAATCACTGGTGCATTGCATCATAAAAATGACGTCAACTTGAAATTCTGTCGGGACAACAGGGTACTGGTATGCGGGACTTGCACACTCTTGGGGGGTTATGTACTCTTGGTTGTACCCATTACATGCCAACGGTGTTGCTACTCAAAGACAGCTCGTTTATATGTATGACATGGTGTAGAGCAGTATGGGTCGTATGCCTGGCAACATGGCGTTTCATTTTTGCATAGCGTGAGTGCATTTCTATCATTATAATTATAAGAACTTCGGCCGTAAAAGAACTGATTCTCACGCACATTGGTGTTACATCATGGGTCAACTGTATGTCATATACAGTCAACTTAATAACGAGTGCGGATATAACGACAATTCCCATGCCCAGAGCAAAGTCCCATCAAACTGTAACACAGATCCGCTACTGTAGTAACCTGGTAACTGTATTATAGTGAGGCTTCGGTTATAACGACACTTTGCGAATAAGGACAGAATTTCCATGCCCAGAGCAAAGTCCATTCCACCTGTATACATGTAATGAGACTTCGCGAATAAGGACACTTTTCCGATGCCCCGCCGTGTGTCGTTATACGCAAAGTTGACTGTACTGGTGGTTGCTTGATTCCGCTGATCGTGTTGAACTCCGTGCATGATTCTGCTTCCTACAGAGCAGAACCGGTCGCAGCCTTAGACGGTCAAACTAGCAGCCTGCAAGTCAAAACTCGTCGACATCAGTACCAAGATGGCTGGTGAGATGTAGCAATCGTTGGTTTGAATTCGTGCATGTGTGCTGGTTGTGTAGCTCACGGATTTTAATCTCTGGCTACCGTATCTGATTTTCCTGTGTGTGTGTGTGTGCACGCGCGTGCGTGTGTGTGTGTGCGCGCCATGTCTGTGCATGTGTCTGTGTGTTCATGTATGTGTCTGTGTGCCCGTGTCAACTCCCACCACCCGGCAGAGCCCGTCGAGGAGTCGGAAATGCAGAGCGCCTATCGCGACCTCGTCTCCAGCAACCTGGCGCTGAGTGTTGACGTGCTGGAAGCCACGGAGAAGTGGCTCAAGAGGAATCCGCAGGTAAAGCACAGCAAGAAGGCCAAGGCTGCAAGCAGCAGCAGCGGCAGCGGCGTTGCTCCGCAGGACGAGAGCGATCGCTACGCTCAGCTAGAAGGAGCTGCGCCACCGGGCCTGGCTCGACTCGTCCGACGTGTCAAGGCGGAAAGGAGCTTCCTGGCCGGGGTACGTACATGTGCGCTCCACACAGTGACCAGCCTATACCCCGGACCTCTGGGAGCTACCGCTAGGGGACACTCTCGGGGCCCTGGTCGCCTTTTGTACCCGGCCAAGAGCGGCTGGTCTAGAAATGGTCTGTAGGCATGGCTGTGTGCATACAGTAAAACCTGTCAAGGCGACCACCTGTCCAAGAAGACCACTGAAACCAGGATCAAGCAATGCTCTTTCCAGTCAAATGACCCTGGATAAGGAGACCACCTGGTAACAGAGACCACATTTTGCAGGTCCCTTGAGCGGTCGCCTTAGACAGGTTTCACTCTAGTTCTGCCGATGCTGGGGCCATGTACTCGTGTTGTTTGTGTGCAGTTGTCATTTTGCAGTTTGGTGCTGTCACTCACTAGGTTTCAGGGTAGTCGCTCCTCTCTGGTTCCTGGCAGATTCGCTAACTTCAGGATGTGTGTGTGTGTGTGTGTGTGTGTGTGTGTGTGTGTGTGTGTGTGCGTGTGTACGGGCGCGTGCACTTGCGTGTGTGTGAATGTGTGTGTATGTGTGCGCGTGTGCGTATGCTTGAATGTGTGCGTACGCTTGAATGCAGGTGATGTCAGCAAAGGTACCCATCCGTAACTCGCACGCTCGAAGCAGCAATCTAGCCCACCTGCACGCAATCTTCTTGACCGCTCGCTACTCGAACCGTTGCACGGCCGTACTCAAGCGAATGTTCTTCCTGCACGTCGCGGAATTCTCGGACCCGGTCTACATCCCGCTGAGCGACGGTGAGGAGGACTACTCCAGTGACGGAAGCGAGCAGGAGGGTGGTGACGACGATGATTGTACCCCGCAGGATGACGGCGCGTCGAAGGACCTCCGTTCCGGTGAGCGTGTGCCCGTTCCCGCGGCGAGCCATGCCGAACCGACCGCGAACGTTGCCACGGCAACTTCGCATGGTGACCGCGAGCAGGCGTTTGCCACCGCTGCCGCAGCTGCCGTTCCGCTGCAGCCGAGCGAAATGGAGCAGCTGCTGCGCGACCGCCTTCGACAGGACCTTGGCGTGGAGTACTCGGACGAGGAAGACGACGGGGAAAATGGCGTCGGCATGTTTGACTTCAGAGAGGACGGTCCTGGAGAGGAGGATGCGTCGAGTGAGAGCGACGACGAAGATCACTGCGTCGACTCGGTTGTGGCGGACGTCATTGTGGAGGGCGGCCGCGCCTGGATCAAGGTGGTCGCCCGCAATCCGCTGTCCCTGCATCGCACCTGTCAAGGTACGACATTCGAGTTCTTGTTCATGTACGACTCTTAATGCTCCGGGGCGTCAAAACGAGGGTACTTAGAGTGGTGTGGTCAGCAACTTGAAGTGCTCCTTCCAGGACCTCCCTGAAGACTTCCAAATTTAGAACCAAAGTCGTATTTTTCAATTCACAAGGTACCTGAGTGGTGTGGTCGATGTCATACGAGGTAGTGGTCGTGTCTTGTCCGAAGCGCCTGTTTATGTTGCAACTGGTTGTATGCATCTGTGCACTGTCATATCAGTGCGCCGAAAGCCGGTCTTTATGGACGCGTGGTTGTCGAACCCAGGTTGCAGTGGTCGAGATGTGCGTGCCGTGCTCGCTGATCCACATGTTGCAAAGCATATGACAGCTGTTTGATAAGGCGGAGGATTCCCAGTGATTGCATTCCATAATGCCCGCGAATTGATGTTGAATCCGTTCATGAATCGCCCCTGGCTATTCACATCACCCCATGTGAATAGGGTGAAAGGATTCTGAACCGATTCCAAGGCTCATGACATGAAATCGAACGACGAGATTCAATTCATGAATGGATTCGTGTCAGTAATCGAACGCACCCATGTGTCGGACTCAACCAACCCCGGCTGTAGCTCGGAGACCTTTCTTATCACTAGGTCTTCCGCTTTTGTCCAACACCTGCCACAACAGTTCTGAATCTCAAAATAGATGTTGAATCATACTTGGAACTCTCAGATAACTGATCTCTATTGCGGCGGTTGCATGGAACAGCTTTACTGTTGAGCTGTTTGTAACTTTATGAGGCCACACGGCGCTGGAAGATTGTTTGTGGATTTCCTCAACTTGGCAAGACGAATGCCTTGGAGTTACTTTGCTCTTTGTGGCAAGGAAATCGGGAGAAGACGTACTATCGTTGCGTGTGCGTATGTACGTACGTGTGTGTGTGTGTGTGTGTGTGTGTGTGTGTGTGTGTGTGTGTGTGTGTGTCCCATGTGTGTGTCCCATATGGTGCAGTCACGCCAGTGGTATGTGCAGCGATTTCCAATCGATAGGTTGCGGGTTCGATTCCCGACGATTATGGTCACACACGTCTTTCTTCTCTTTCTCAGACTCTTCCTGACTTTTCTTTCATTCTCCTGGGTGGTTACCAACAGCCAGTGCATGCCGGAGTATGTGGTGTGATGTGTGTGCGGGAAAAAAAATAAAAAGACCAAAAAGTAGGGATTCACTGGCCAGAAAAAAGCCACTTCAAAGCTGTGTGGTGTAGACCAGGCTGAATAGTGGTGGTCAATTCTTCAGCCTTGCAAGCTGTTGAATGGTGCAATCCCAGCACAAGTTGCTATGGCTTCTGCTGTAGCATCGCTATCATCGCCTCTGGCGATGGGCGTCCAATGGTCCAATGGTGTGTGTGTGTGTGCGTGTATTTGGCTCGGCAGGTGGCAGTCGTGGACATCGGAACCACAAGAGCGTACTAGTACAAGCCCAGGTAAGCCTTGTGCCCGTGATTGACATCCCTGCGTGTACCTCTCACACTATTACTGATGCATAGGTCTGGCCAGTGGAAGCATCCCTCATCACTGGGCTATTTCCGGGGCGCTGAGCCGCTCTGATTCATCCACGGAGGTCGTTTTCACTTTTGAGCACTGTGTATGTGCATAGGTGCATGTTGGAGTGGCCCCAAGCTCCTACTGTTGTGCTCATCTCCATGTGTATGTACATGGTCAACAGTACATGTGTACCGTACTTGTGCACACAAACGCTGTGGGACGTCGGACTCTGCAATTTGTAATAACTCACACACGGATAGGCACAAACTGTGCACACACGCATGCACACACACACACACACACACGCATGCACACACACACATGCACACACACACACACACACACACATCTGAATTGCGACTTCTGCGTTCCTGCCGCGTTCTTGGCGTTCTGTCCTCATTGTTTCCTCTGCACTGTATGCTGTGCACAGGATATGCTCTCTGCTGCACAGCAGAATCCGAAAGATTATTCAGCGCCACGGGTCGTTATTCTGTTTGCCAAAGGCGTAACAAAGCCAGTAAAAGGTAGGTGTTTCTTGATTAAATCTTCACTTCTCTAACTCGGAAACTGTCTCTTCACTGAGAATATCGTTACGTTTACGTAACTGTAGTTTCCGGAGTTTAAGCAGCTACACTTTAAAAACACCAACGGTCAACTGGGTACTCACTACTCGGAGTGAGGGTAACATGGATGCAGCTAACGAGGTTAGCCCCCTTGTCGGGCATTGGTTATGAGACTTACCACCTCACCCTCGCCGTTAGGCGCTGCATCTGCCACCCTGGTATCACAGGCATGGTGGTGGCCTGGCACAGGCGAAACTTCCTAAGCTGGTTGAGTTTCTCAACGCAATTGTATAGCCGGTGGTAACGCGGACGTGCAAACTTTACTTTACTTCACACTTTAAAAGCACCAGTAACTCACCCCAACAAGGACAGTTGAACTCGGATGGTGAGCCAATTTAATTATGGTTAAAAAAGAAGAAGAAGGACACTCGCTGACTGTGTATGATCTGATTGCGTTGGTGGACAGCTAGTCATGACTCGTAACATTTTGTCCTTCTCCTTTTTTTTTCTTCCAAAAAGGACAGTGTGGTCTATACTACGATTGTCTAATTAACATTGATAAATAGGGTAGATGTCTGTATTTCCTTCTTGCAAGCTGTTGAAGTTATCGGTATAATTGTTTCAGCCCTACAAGTTGTGCTCACTGTTCCGTCTTCCCTCTCTTCTCCCCTCCCCCCCCCCCCCCCCCCCCCGTAGACGAACTTCAAAAACTAGGCGTGACCGTGTGTGGACGTGTGTGCCCAAGACGAGATTCGCCGCCATCAGCGTCGGCGGATGCAGACGACCGCACGAACGGCGCGTGCGACTCCTCGGCCGGCGCCGGTTCTTACGCTTGTGTTGATCTGTCCCCGGCTGAGCTGGAGGCCGAAGTGGCGGAGATGATGCAGCAGCTGTCCACCACCTTACAACAGGAGACGGCAAGGTAAGACGTGCCCTGTGCATCTGGGACATTCCAGTCCTCCCGCGAGCTGGTCTTTTGTTTGGATTTGGAAAGAGGAAGTTGTCGATGTGCTCTCCAAAAGCTGTGCGTTGTGTTTTGTGTTGAGCTCTATCCTATGAAATGGCGTCTTAGATATTGAAAATCCGCAACGGCGACCCCCAAACTGGCTAAAATGTGTGTGTGTGTGTGCGTGCGTGCGTGCGCGCCCGAGTGTGTGTGTGTGCGTGCGTGCGCGCGTATGTGCGTCCATGTGTGTGTGTCTGCACATGCCCACGTGTGTATATATGTGCGTGTGTGTGTGTACATGTTGGCATGCGTGTCAATTGTCAGATGCGAGGACAAGCGTGTCAACCTGGACGTTTCCACCATGTTAGTTCTGTGCTCCCAGTTGACGCACGGGTATGCCAACTACAAGTTCAAGGTATGTTGCAAGTAGACTGGAAGAGTTGAAAGTGTGACGAGTTGAAAAGTTTTTTTAAACGAATAATAATTTCCCACTTTAATAGTCCGTGAATATCAACTTTTTTCACCAAACGAATTATTTTAGTTTGGACCCAACCCCGCCCTCCCCCTCAGAACATAAAAAATGTTGACGTAATACATGAAAAGTCATGGCCGTGTACACGTTTCAATGTTTTCTGAAACGAAATTGGTTAACCCCCATCCCACCCCATAACGAAATTATTTCGTTTTGTGAAAAAAGTTCGATATTTATGGACACCCCCTTAGAGGGTACACAGTTTAACGACCCTGCCATCAGACACCTGTCTTCTATGTCTCTAGTACAGAGGAGAGAAGGAAAAGCATACGTGTAACGTTTCTTCACTTTCATTAGTTAAGGATGGATTTCATTGAGCAGTGCTGTGTGTCGCCCTTCGATTGTTGACCCACTCTTGCGACAACCATTGGTGTGCGTGTCTCTCGTGTGCATTCTCCTGTGTTCCTCCTTGTAGAGTGGTGTGCTAAATGAGCAGGCGGCAAGGGAGCGTCTCCACCCCGCGCTGCCCGAACTGGAAGAGTTCCTAGCCGGTGAGCGTAGTACCAGTTTGCTTAACTTCAGTACCAGTGCATCTAGTTTCTGCTTCTAAGCAGGGTGCTGTCTATACTGGTTACTGTAAGTTGACAAATTTTCGGCCCATTCAAATTTCGGCCTCCCAGGGCTAAAACCCATTTCGGCCATATCAAATTTTCAGCCTGTACTGCTGCCGCCTGTATACACTGTCACACTGAACCCTTGCAAAACAAAATTTCGGCCGCAACAAATTTTCGGCCAGATATGACCAGGCCGAAAATGGCCGAAAATAATTATGCGCCGAATATTTGTTGACCTACAGTACCTACTTTAAATACTTAGGTGCCGTAATCACGTCGGATGGCAAGTCCGATGTGGAGATAAGAAGACGCTTAGCACTAGGGAAGCAAAAGATCATCGAGCTTCAATTCATTTGGAAATCGCCATCACTTTCTTTGCCTACTAAATTTCGTTTGTTAGGTCTATTGTGCTAGCGACTGTTTTATACGGATGCCAATCTTGGACATTATCTGCCTCATCAATGAGAAGAATTTCATCCTTCGAGATGAAATGCTTCCGCCGACTCTTAGGAGTAACATACCACGACCGGCGTACCAACCAATCTTTCCTGGAAGAAATCAATGACATCATCGGAGCAAGGATGCGGCTAGCGAACGAAGTCAAGAAATTTAAGTTGATGTGGTTTGGCCATGTTACGAGACACGACGTTTTCTCCAAGCCTTTCCTGCAAGGATCAACTCCTGGATCTCGACCGAGAGGAAGGCCCGCGACATCATGGATTTCTAACATTAAAAGTTGGACGAGTCTTCCCTTGCATGCTCTCTCTCATGCAGCACACGATAGAGTTGGATTCAGAGACATCATTCACAATTCTCTCGCTGATTAATGCCTCTACGATCACCTTGTGATTATGAGTTATACATACATACATACATACATACAGTACCTCAGCAAGTGTATGGTGTGCACGGGTAACTGTCTCGGCTGTCCTATTCCGATGTGCTTCGTGTTGTGTAGACCAGGTGTGCATTGGTGGTCGATTCACATGGCTTCGCCGGTTGTGTTGATTAGGCAGTTGTCTGGTGCTAGTTTTGATCTGTCTCATTCAAATCTTGTCCGCTATCGTTGCTAGAAGAGAAATCTCTGGGTGCACGTCCAGTGCATTTGCAGATTTGCGTGCTTCTCTTGCGACGGGTGTACACGTGGCACGTGGTACAATAGTGTGTGGGCGATTGTGTGTGTGTGTGTGTGTGTGTGTGTGTGTGGGCGTGTACGTTGGTGTGCATGAATTGTATGTGCCTTTCTTGCAGACAAGGATTTGCTGTGTTGCGAGACGGCTCGGTCGGAATTCAATGACATTGTCAACACGGTCGCTGGCCCGGTGGAGAAAGAGCGCGCCAGGTAGGGTGTGTGTGTGTGTGTCCTTGTTCAGTCTCAGTGCAGAGTGTGACAAGTTGAATCTGGCTTTGCTGATTCAATCTACACTAACTTACAACTGCAGGCCGTGCATGCAATCTGTCTGTGCACTGTGCATATTGTGCGGATTTGCGCTTTTGACCACTTGCGTGTGTGCACGCACGCACACACACACACACACACACACACACACACACACACACACACACACACATGCCTGTACATCTAGTATCAAGGTTTGATACTTTTCCTTCTCTGTTGTTCCTGTGGCCTTCATTTGTTGCCAGAGAGCTGATGGAAGAAGTCAAGGTGGTTCCTGATTGTCCCTCACAGCGCATCATGGATCTGAAAGAGACGACCAAGATTCGAGAACGGGCAAAGGTGAGTAGTAGCGCAGCTCTAGGGGGCAAGAGGCTTGCGTGCATGTGTGTGTGTGTGCGGTGTGTGTGTGTGTGTGTGTGTGTGTGTGGTGTGGTGTGTGGTGTGTGTGTGTGTGTGTGCGATGCGTGTGTTTGTGTGTGTGTGCGCGCGCGCGCGCGTGTGTGTGTATGTGCTAGCGTGTGTGTGCGTGTGTGTGTGTGCGTGTGTCCCATATGGTGCAGTGGTATTTGCAGCGATTTCTAATCGATAGGTTGCGGGTTCGATTCCCGACGATTATGGTCACACACGTCTTTCTTCACTTTCTCACTCTTCCTGACTTTTCTTTCATTCTCCTGGGTGGTTACCAACAGCCAGTGCATGCCGGAGTATGTGGTGTGATGTGTGTGCGGAAAAAATATGAAAAAGACCAAAAATGTGGTGTTATGTGTGTGCGGAAAAAATATGAAAAAGACCAAAAAGTAGGGATTCACTGGCCAGAAAAAGCCACTTCATAGCTGTGTGGTGTACACCAGGCTGAATGGTGGCGGCCAATTCTTCAGCCTTGCAAGCTGTTGAATGGTGCAATCCCAGCACAAGTTGCTATGGCTTCTGCTGTAGCATTGCTATCATCGCCTCCGGCGATCGGCGTCCAATGGTCCAATGGTGTGTGCGCTTGCGTGTGTGGAAGTGCAGGTGCCTGGTCAATTTATGATTTTTTTTGTTTCAAGGAATTCATCAAAGGCGATTTAATTAACTCCTATCGAGGACGTGAGTACATGTATATACACATACAGTCCTGCCCAATGAAATCCAGTCGAGTTTCTCCAGTACACGCCGGGCATTGCGCAACCCTAGACCCGCAAACACTGGGCTGCGAAAAGGTGGACAGCGCAGACCTGACTCTCACGAGTGGATTTCATTGTGCAGCACTGTACATGTGTGCATGTCTATATGCATTTCCCACCTGTATCGACCCGCACCTAACCTTCACCATTAACTTAGAGTCGTGTATTTCCCACCTTCACCTTCTCACCTCATCTCACAACCATCACTCCCCATTAACCAGTGCCACCACCCCAAAGCCCTCCATTCTGTATCCACTGACGATGTTGTTCAGAACAACGAAGCGTCTGGAGAAGTACAGTAAATATTTCTATCTTTGTTTATGTGGAAGAGAAAAGGACATATGGATACGAGTTAAGAGTAACTCTCCATCACTGTAACATGATACTATATACAGTCAGAAAGTGCAATAACTAGGCACAAAACTGACAGAGTACTGAAACATTCGACGTCCTGACACCTAGCTTCAACACATCTCCGTAGCGCTTACCGACAGCCTTCCAACTTGGAAGGTTCAAGGTTATGGAAAAGACCAAAGAGGGGAAGGCAAGCGCAACGAAAACGATTTCTCTTCCACATTTATTTATGGCTCAACATCCGAGTTTCAAATCTTTATTTATCAAAATATATACCACTCTTTGGTCTAGAAAGAATACTTTTTTGATATATGCATTTCGTTGGTTGCAGGCTTGTCCGCATGTCAATGGCTGCACTCAGTGTCCATGTTTCTCTTCTCTCGTTTTTCAGGTGATTTTCGGCACCGGTGAAAGCATGCAGCTGACTACATCGACGGCAAATCAGGCGTTTGTGCGGGCCGCAGCCGGACAGGTAAGAATCAGGCGATGGCTGCAAGAGAGGGAGGGGGGCAGGCACTAGTCCCTGGCATGCACAAGGTCTTTTTAGGAGGTGGGTGAGGTCTGTGTGTGTGGGGGGGGGGGGGGTATTCACCGTTTTTAATACAGACAGTAGTGCCCTTTTCCAACCTGCCCAATCCCAAACTGTGCGGATAAGGGTAGTTTTATTGTATCTGGTAGATGGATTGCCCGATATTTGTTATGGTCTCCACCCTCACACCCAGGCATACATTTTACTCACACCCACTCAGTACATTATGCATCTGATAGCCTGGATATCAGGCAGCTAGCGCTACTACACCTGATGAGCGCTTTTGCATGACATTTTTCAAGAGTGGCAGATTCGTCAAGTTTTCCTTTAATATATTCCTGTAATAGAGCATTATCGTACCTCATGGGCAACTACAAAGAGACGATTCACGGTCCATAATGAACACCGGACTGAGCGCATCAAATACATGAGACACACGCATGCGCTCAATTTTTCGAGACGGACATCACACGTGCGTGTGCGGGGGCCGGTATAGTGTGCAAATTCTTCTACAGCGCCTTTACGGCTCTGATCAGTCGTGCTGTTTCCCGGTGGCCGTGGTCTCTGCGTACTGTGCAAGACCAACTGTGCTGACGTGTGCTGTGTGGATGGCGTGCTGTGTGGATGGCGTGCTGTGTGTGGATGGCGTGCTGTGTGTGGATGGCGTGCTGTGTGGATGGCGTGCTGTGTGGATGGCGTGCTATGTGTGGATGGCGTGCTGTGTGGATGGCGTGCTGTGTGTGGATGGCGTGCTGTGTGTGGATGGCGTGCTGTGTGTGGATGGCGTGTTGTGTGGATGGCGTGCCGTGCGTTGTTTCTGTACTGCAGGGTATACATTTCAGTGTGTTCAGTCACGAGTCGCGGGCGCTCACAGAGTCGAAGCAGCTCACGGCAGAGCCGCTGCCCGCGGAGAACGGAGCCGCAGAGTAGTGACCCGTCCGCGGCATAACACACTCACCTGTGTGTGTGTGTTCTTTTGCTTTCTCGCTGTTGTCTCCCGCTTCTGGGAGCGACGTGGCCATTTGTGCCAGTTGTACATAGTAGCAGTATAGTACTGTCCTGGACCTGGAAATCCGGTCGCACCTCTAGCGGCCCAGGGCGCTGCCCACGCAGCCTTGAGTACGCGTGCGATACATACCTTCATTCGCTGCAGCGTGCGCTGGCCGCATCGGATCAACGCATGCACTGCATGCAGCGTTCTGTACGCACCGAGGGCGCCGGCTTCGGTCATTCGACTGGATTTCCATGTCCACGACAGTAGTAGTAGTAGTGGTAGTAGTGTGTGTGTGTGTGTGTCCGCGTGAGTGCGCTACCAATGTTCGTTTATAGTGATGTGCACTGGCTGCGAGCACCCGCGTCTTTCTCCGTGTTGTAACTGCCCTCATCATCATCACCACATTCTCCATCATGTCACAAATTACCCGGCTCCAGGTGGCGCGTCCGTACTAAATTACAGAATGCTGTCCCCGTTGCGCTTATGCAAGAAGTAAAAATGGCTATACATTAAATCTCTGTCGCCTTGTTATGTCTTCGTTATCATATTCGGATCGGATTTCCTCTGCTATACGTTATGTCTATTGTATTTGTTGAGTCTTACGAATGACACTCACGCCATCATGCTTGTTGGCCGTACAGCTAAAGAGTAAAGGCTGTTCTAGAGGCCTCCAGCTGCAGGAATTGCTTTCGTCTCATCACAGAAATTCCACTTCATGAATTTAAAAAAAATGCGCCTTGCAATACACGGTTCTACTGTGTGACTAGCCTGGATCATGAACAATATTCAGTGGTGACGCTGCTGACTATCCTGCAGCGCTGCAGCACGCTTGAACCACTGAGTCTGTGCACAGGGGCACTGGTTAGTGTTTGAGACTTCACTTCCTACAAAGTACAATCACTGCACATGGATAATATACACTGTAAGAATTATTGCAGACGTAACGTCGTTATAATAGTGAGGTTCTGCCACACGGTATAACGTGCCAAAGTACGTATGGAAATTTCGCCGCGGTACGGGATTTAGTTTGATACGGATTTTTTCATACCGTTTTCCGTGTGAAGCTCGCTTCACACGGACTGGACTCCGTGTGAAAAGTGAGCGTACAGAGTACATGTGGCGGGGTGTTCGTGCATGCTTCGTGCATGCTACGTACAGCAGAACCGGTGCAACGTAGGAAAAATCCGTGTCAAACTGCACTGCAGTTGACACGGAATTTGGTACGTAGTTCCGTGTAGCAGAACCTCTCTAATTATGTTACAGGCCAATCGTGATTAGACTACGAGTACTGATTATTATCAAGAGTAGATAATCTAATAGTACTATCGGTACTGCTCATTGATAATAACAAGAGTAGATAAACTACTCTTGTTATTATCAATGAGCAGTACCGATAGTACTATTAGTAGCAGGGAGTCGTAAAATACCTATATATATATATATATTTTACGACTCCCTGATTAGTAGTAGTTGGCGCTGCAGCCAACTACTACTAGTAACTAATGTTGCTCACGTGACTTTCTTTCTTGAAAAATAATTCCACTTTCCAGCCTTTTTGAAGTCGTCTCTGGAATATGGGCCGATCAGTCCAGGCATCGTGTCGATGCCTGGACTACACACATTATACTGCATAGCCTAGGCTGACAGTTCCTCGGTATCACGGAATCCTATTGGCAGTTGGCTACTTCTCGCTGACAGCTAAAATCCGAAAATGCACTGTGATTCATGTCCTGAACAGTTCACTGAGGCCGACTTGCCATGATAATAGGGGGCAAATCACGAGAACCAGCACTACAACATGCCATGAAACGGTAATGCCTGTCAGCCAGTCTCACCACCATGCCATGCATGCTGGCCTAGCGCCTCCCGTACATTATGTACATCGCAAAGAAGAACCGTCAACCGGATTGATGGAACAAACTGAAACAGCCAACTAGTCTGCAACCCACGTAATCGCAGTGCACAATGCTATCCGGTAGTATCCCTTGCCTTGGCCCCTTGCATGCGCCACGGCCGGAGCTGAGGACTCGAGTGAGGAGGCGTCTGACGTGACTCGAGTCTGATCTGATCTGATCAGCTGACTCAGCTGAGTCATGATCGATGGTGGCATGGTGCTGTAAATCCAACCAATCACATGCCTTCCAGATGAGTAATCATGACCTCACCTCCTCTCACGCATGCGTAATGCGTACAGGATGACGCCAGCATCATGAAGTACATGTAAGCGCAAGTCCTTGTTCTTGAACAAGGAGCAAGGAATTTTCAGAACAGAAATCGACAGGAGAGCTAGAGGAGAGGAAGGGCATGTGCTTCTGACCAACAGTTACATTCTGAACCGAATAGAACGGTGTGCGAGTTGACGAGTGCAGCTCAGGGAAGGTGCCGTGGACCGTCAACCATGTTCACCGTCTGTGTATTCGACTGTGAGAACTATCTCAACAAACGCGCTGAGTTTTCCTGCCTCGGCGGCCGTTCTCCGACCTGGGAAGCTGTCCGCAGGGAGTTCGCGAAGGCGACCAACTCACGCTTCCAAGGTGTCCATTACAAAGATGAGGATGGAGATCTTGTGCGCGTGGATAGCGAAGAGGAATGGACCGAGGCGGTGAGGATTGCTACTCGGCGTGCAGACGGAAGGGAAGCCGTTTTGAATTTGTATCGGGGAGAGGTGGCAATGTCGAGGCTTGCACTTACTGAAGAGCTACAGGACGAGCAAGTCGAGAGCAGCCAATCCGCCGAAATTGACGGACCTGATGCGCCCAAGTGGTTCATCAAGTATATGTCGGAGAAAAGGGCAGAGGAGCAAGAGATGGTTAGTGCTGTCAAGGATTCCATTGTCAGCGGCGTTCTGCAAGGCTTGGACGGAGCTGTCGTTGCAAGCGTCTCGGCCAACACAATGAAGACTGCGCCCGCCGAGGCGTCCAGCCGGCCCAAGTATCACCATCAGAACGTGTACTGCGATGGCTGTGAGCAGCCCGTCGTGGGTACGCGCTACAAGTGTGGCAACTGCGATGACTATGACCTGTGCGAGGTGTGCGAGGCAAAGGGCAACGTGCACCGCGACGATCACGTCTTCCTGAAGCTGGACAAGCCAGCACCGCACTGCGGCTTCCTCGAGAACGCCAAGATGCAGCCACTGCTACGCTGCCTCGTTTACCAGCAGCAGCCAACGACTCCGAAAAAAGTCAAAGTCAAGAAGGATAAGTCATCTGTCAAGCGTCGACCGGCAAACGTTTCTCCCAGGGCCAGAAGGCCGTGTGATGCTCCCAAGCCGCCGTGCAACTACAAGACGGAACTGCTGATCGACGGCAAGGTGATGCCTTCGAGCACGCTGGTGCGTCCGGGCACGACCATTACGTACCGCTGGCTGGTGCCCGACTTTGGCTACTCGGCGGTGGGCCTGTCGCTGCACTGCATCGGCGGCTCTCTGGCGCCGGTTGAGTCGCAGGTGCCCATGCCCAGCGTGTTTGGCGGCGAGTCCTGCTGGGTGGGCGTGCAGCTGCTGGTGCCAATGGCCGGTAAGCACGAGAGTATCTGGGTGCTGCGCGCTAACGGTGTACGGGTGGGCAACCCTCTGCACTGCCGCATCACCGCCTGCGAGCTGGCCGGCTACAACTCGAAGTTCGTCACGGACGCCAATCTGCCGGACGACGCCATCGTGGAGACGGGCGACGTGCTGCGCAAGCGCTGGGTGCTGTCGAACAGCGGCACGGTGAGCTGGTGCAGCGGCAGCGTGTACCTGCAGAACGTGCGCGGCACACTGCGCGCCGCCAAGAAAAGCATCCCGGTGCCGGCCACTCGGCCGGGCGCCTGCGTCACCCTCGAGGCCGAGCTGCTGGTCCCCGCCGACATGGGCGAGTACGACAGCCTGTGGGTGCTGATGTGCGACGGCGTGCCCTTCGGACAGCAAATCTGGTGCAAGATAACGGCCATCGAGAAGACCGAGGTGCCCGCAACGCCGGCGCTCGACGTGCCAGTCCCAGCACGGCCCGTTGCGGAGCGGACAGAAGCAGCAGTACCGCCGCCGCCGTCTTCATCGCGTCCAGCACCGGCCAACCACAAGTACGCGTCGATGCTGCTGTCGCGAGACGACCTGGCGGCCACGGTGCGTCCCGCCGAGGTCATCCGCCACCAGTGGCTGGTGGCGAATAACGGCACGGAAGCGTGGGACTCGCGCGTCGTGCTCCTGTGCATTGACTCACCGCACCTACCCAGCGTGGTCGTGCCGCCGACGAAGCCCGGCGAGCAGTGCGCGCTCGAGGTGGAGATAATGGCGCCCGTCGAGCCCGGCGAGCACAACACGCGCTGGTGCCTGACGCGCAACGGAACGCCGTTCGGCTACATCTTCTTCTGCCCGCTGACCGTGATCGTGCCCAGTGCTGACGAGCCACGACGCTCCGGCGACCTGTGGAAGACCCTCATACCATCTTCTGCCACCACCACCGCCACCACCACTGAGGCTGAATCGTCCGCTTCATCGGAGGCCAGCGCTACCGCTACCCCTACCGCTTCTACCAATGACGAGGACACCCTCGGCGACAAGTACGACATTGTCCAGCCCAGTGAAATTCCCGACTACACTCCGTCCGCACCTGCCGCCGACGCCTGTTCGACCAGCGGCGAGGGTTCCACCGACGACGGCTACATCATGGTACCGCTTCCCGACTGCTTCAACCTGGATTCGGCCGACCTGTCTCTCAGCGAGAGCGCAATCTTGAGTGCCGCCACCGTCGCAACTCCTCCTGCTCAGCTCGACCTGATGACGTTTGATGCAGATGGCAATTCGACAGCTGCTCCCACACAGGCTTGTGCTAGTGACGCAGCAGCAGCCCGTGCAATCTCCCCTGACCATGCTGAGATCGTCCACAATTCGAGCCGCGATGGCAACCAGCGAGAGGCGAAGGTTGATGCCATCATGCATCCTTTTGCCGCAGCTGCGCAGCCAGATTCTTCATCGACGTCGAGGTAAGATTTCGAGTGTGTGTTTATGTGCATGTGTGTTTGTGTATGTGTTTGTGTGTGTACATGCGCTCGTGTGCGTGCGTGTACATGCATTCGCGCGTGTGTGTGTGTGAGTTCATTGCTGCATTAACCACAGTCTTCGCGCTGCTTATGCCGTTTAGGAAGCTAGGAAGGGGCATTTGTTGTGTCTTTTTTGTGATGCAGATGCAATCTCTATCTCTCTCCCTCTCCCTGTCTCTCTCTCTCTCTCTCTCTCTCTCTCTCTCTCTCTCTACCATTTTCAGAGCAATGGTTGTGTTGGGTACTCTGGCCGTGCACTCAGATCACTGAAGCAATGTGTGTGTGTTTGCTCTGTCCCTAGCCAATTGGTAATGAACGACGGCGCTCCACGCACCCTCCCGCAGGCGTCCAACTGGATGCCGCAGGCGAAGCAGTGGATGCCGCGCCAGGCCGAGACACCCATGGAGCGGCTCTTCGAGATGGGCTTTGGTAATCGTCAGCTGAACCAGTCCACCCTGGAGGAGTATAAGTACGATCTGGACCTTACCATTGCCGCCCTCATCCAGCTACAGGACCGATCATAAGTCCTGTCTGATTCTCAGCGCCAGCCGCTCCGTAAAAAGCAACAAGGGTGTAACTCTAATCCTGGTCTCCGTTTGCACGTAAGTTCTGTTGCGCATGCACGCACGGGCATATCCTCCCAATAAATATCTTAATTACTTTCTGAACTGCCTCTTGTGTGTGTGGGTGTATCCTGCCTCTAGCCTGGCTGGCTCGCCCACTCTGTTTCTACCCCGCTGGCATTTTAGCTCTGAATTCGTTTTCGCTGCGTATCCGGTCTACGGTCTCTGTCGCTCTGTACTCGCTTGCTTTGCGCTGCTGCATGCTTGCCCGATGTCGGTATGCTGTACTCTGCGTGCTTTCGAATGATTTACCGCTTTGCACCGCTTACTACTACTACCTGCTAGGTCCACCTTATAATTGAAATATTTTACTTCCTTGTATCGTCTGTCTTTTCTGAGATTTGTTTTTAGTTTGCCATAATGGCTCTTGTTTTTTTCTTTCTGTTGTCCCGACTGCATGAAAGCCCTCCACTGTATGTATGTGTGTAATACAGTACTTTCCAGTCGATAAAGTGATGTCTGTGATCGTTGTGAGAGCAACGTTTCTCACCCTTGGAATCTTTCAATGTCCTGTGTCTGCTTGGTGGAGTGCGTCCTATGTGTGTGTGTGTGTGTGTGTGGCTGTCTGGTTTATGCTGCAGCAACTGGAGAATGGATATAATATCTTTATTAGGATGACCCAGGATGTGTCTGTTTGGTGACTGGGTGACTGGTTTCCGCTACATCAAATGATTCTCCTGGGACGGAATGGGTTATTTGAACGTATTTCCTTGTGTCTTGGCCTGGGTTAGACTTCTAAGTTAGCCTTACGTCAGTTGTGCTTCTGCAATTCCTGTACCGGTACATGTTACTATGATGTTAGTGTACAGTTGTTGGTAACGTGATGTGCCCCAATTCATTTCGACAGGAACTTGACGCATTCGTTCATGTAGGGCACCCTGTAACTTTAGCGTAAGAAGACTTGGGAATGCCCAAGTAAGATAATATAAATATAATACAATACAAAATGAGCAAGGTTAGGGATAGCGGTGTGAGATATGGCCTTATGGGAGGCCCGAAGGCAGTCATCGTGCTTGCCTTCAGCCATAGGGTGCGTTCTTAAATCCTCTCGGAAAAGTTGGAGACTCTCCGAAAAGTTCGAGAGCTGTTCTTATATCCTCTCCGAATTTTAGGAGGCTCTCCAAAGCTCTCCAAGCTTCAGAGGTGGTTGAAACTTGGAGATTCCCGCGGTTTGGGATCAGCGCATGCGAACTAGGCTAAAAGCCACGTGTTCATCATGAGTGTACGCATTTCCCTTTCCGCATACGCACAGCGCATACTATATTCGTGGCACTCAAGATCGCGGCCCCTTTGGCGCTTTATTTTGCTTGACATCTTCAAAATATCTCCGAATTCTTCGAGACCCGTTCTTGAAGAATCCCAGTTTCTTCGACTTCTCTTTTCTTCTTCTCCTAGAAGCTAGAGAATTTAAGAACGCACCCTTAGTCAGTGGAAATTGACCCCATGAGGCGCTAGGCATGAGACTTTTTTTTCAAGTTTTTTTTCTATTATTTTTTACACATGCCAAGAGTACATAATAACCTTTTGAACCATGTCACGTGATGTGAAGTTCAGCCGTCGCAGCACAGCATAGACGTAGAGGTGCAGGCAGTTGCACACTCTTGGGGGTTAGGTACTTTTGCACATACTGGTACTGGTAACCGAACACCATCTGATGGCACAAAACAGCAAGGCAGCAATGAGACAACCATAATAATATTATGGAACGGCAGGAGTGGGGGAGAGGCAGCGGCAGCTTTGCCGACCATGGCGTTGAGTCTCACTCTCAACTTCACTTCGCAACGCGAGCCCTCCACAGGAACAACAGGCTGTAGCCTAGACTAGAGCCGAGGAGGGGGAGGGATTGCAGGGCGAAATACTTGAAGTACATGTATGCCCCATATCACTGAGAGCTCAGCTGCCGCTGTCCGCCTCTGAAGTCGGTGGTGGTGGCAGGCCTCTGAAAGTGACTGCCCCGGGCAGCGGGGGCAATTGTATGCATGCCATCGGGTACTTCGGCTGGGACAGTACCACTGGTGGTTTTGCATCTCTGCCCCCCCCCCCTGCCCCTCCTCCTTCGGGGTCTATGGTGGCTAGGTGCAACCGTTGCAGGCAATCCACAGCACAGGGATCAGTGCCAGCTCCAAAATTGGAACATCAGGCATTCGTTGTAGGCCTTGGCGGATAATGCCGGCAGAAAAATTGGCAGAATTCGGTACTTTTTCTCGTAAGTTTCATGCATGTTTGGTATGTGGATAAAGAAATGGAGCAGAATTCGAGGAATTGCCCGTCATAAGGTTTGTATGGTTCTGCCAATTTCGGTGCAAAAAAAGCAGAATCTGCCACCTTTTCAAGCATTATCCGCCAAGGCCTTAAGCGGGATTCACAGAGGCTTTTTTGCGATGCGACACGCGATGCGACAGACGCGAAACCGAGAAAACCCCAAATCGCAGCCATGTCGCACCCCACGCAACTGCCGCAACTGGGCCATCGCAGAAGTTGAGCTTGGCTCAACTTTTGCGATGCGATGCGATGCGACAAGCGATTTGGTGTACGATTTTGACCTTTTCTACAGCAAAGTTGTACAAAGGTGCAAGAGTTGCCTATAAATTTTTACAAGTTGTGTCAAACCGCGTGAATATCATGGTGACGTACCCAAATCAGCAAAACTTTGTCGCATCGTTGACTTCTTCTGTGAATGGTATTTCGCGAGTTCGCATCGCACGCATCCATCGCAGATCGCGTCGCATCGCGTGTCGCATCGCAGAAAAGCTTCTGTGAATCCCGCTTAATTCGTTGATGCCATCTTCGGTTCATCATTATTGTAGCAGTACAATGTAGTAGGCTCATGTTATTCGACCAGACGAGACCACACAAAGTATACAAGTAGTAGTCACAGAGTAGTAATTTTATTACTTTACTATTGCAATCCCCACACACTGTATTAAAGGCCGTGATCGTTTGGTCGGATCCACTGGATCTGCAGTGATCGATTGGTCGAATCCGGATCCAGATCCTTCGGATTTGGATCCAAGCAACCCTGCCCCGGGATCACGGGAGCAGGGTTGACTGGATCCATCGGATCCAAATGTGACCTTTGTGCGTATATGGCGGGTAAAAATCATTTTTGTACTCATTGTCGTGTGACTAGTCGACTTTTGTTGACTTTTCGTACGACGTGCGCGATCAGTACGACTTTCACCCTTTTGGGTGACCTGTCAGCGTCATTTTTTACTTCGTCAACATGGCAACAACCAATGTCCGAGGAAAAATGATCGGTTGATTCTGAAGAATCCGACGGATCTGAGATTTGGATCTGGATCCGGATCCGACCAAACGATCATAGCCTTAGTCTTTTTACAGGGTACATGTAAGTGCGTGAAATAGAGCTGAATAAAGAAAACCGTAAGTGCGTGAAATAGAGCCGAATGAAGAAAACCGTAAGTGCATGAAAATAGAGCTGAATGAAGAAAACCGTAAGTGCGTGAAACAGAGTAAAGAAATGCGGTTGCTGCATGCTATGCCATTATGTACTGCAAAAGAGGCTGCGTAGAATACTGTTGAACATTGCAAAGGAGGCTGCTTGGCGGCATGCTGCCGGAAGCGAATGCCACCTGTGAGCAACATTCAACCACAGCCACGTGACGCTTTCAAACACCAGCACGAACAGTCCCCAAGCAACACTCGACGACAGCAAGTAGTTACTCCCGACAAGCTTGTTTCATTCCAATTTAGATTAAGCTCGGGCGGATTAGGCTCGCAAAATCACGCCGCAATTATGCTTTCATCGATGCTCGCACTATGCTTGCAAAATCCTCATTATTATTATTATTATGCTTTGGCATGTGGGGTACTTGCATGTACATGTATTCACTTTGTTCAATTAGTTGTACTTATGGAGCCTCAAAGTTCAGGATATTGTGCGTTTTTCATTTTTGCAAGTGGCCATAATTATTACTTATTCTATTCATTTATATCAATAGTTTACTTTTTCTCTAAAAGATTTTTTCATCAGTATCATTACGAAATGAGTTACCTTTGAAAGTATCATGTTCAACTGTCTTTTTAGTCCGGCATCATACTCGTCCAACATGTCAACCTCGCAACGCGAAGAATCAGCCCATCTCTCCCACAGCTCCACCTCTCCTTCCATCATGACCGAACATCAACTATGCCTCCTAGGCTAGAGTAATACCCACTAGATCTAGTGCGTACACCGGTATGACCGTATCGAAACTTGCAATGGGAGTTGTCGATAAGATTATAGCCTGCAAAGCCATGGCTGCTAAAATCCAAAGGTCATGACTAGCTTCGTACCATGACTACCCGTCGATATCTAGTCCGCCCCATGGCTGATTCACTCGCAGCTTCTACTACATGTACAGTATCAGTATCAGCGTGAGGCATCGACAGAACTTTGAAGAAGAAGAGTTCGAGCATACAACAATGCATTGCCATGATTTCTACCCTGCTTTTCACTGAAAACTCGTTTTACCATGCAGACCACTGCAGCACTGATCAGGTGCATTGGACACAATTGTGTAGCCTACATACTAGAACTGTAGTACAATCATGTAGTTATGCTCCGACCTCCGAAAAGGTGCCAAATTATGCTCTAAGTTTTCAACCACCAAATATGCCAAGAATTATGCCGGCATAATCCGCTGGAGCCTAGAGACGAACTATCGATACAGGTACATGTACATGTGTACCTGTAATGTGTGTGTGTGTGTGTGTGTGTGTGTGTGTGTGTGCGTGTGTGTGCGTGCGTGTACGTGTGTGTGCGTGTGTGTGTGTGCGCGCGTGTGTGTATGTACGTGCGTGCGTGTGTGTGTGTGCGTGTGCGTGCGCGCGTGTGTGTGTGTGTTTCTCCGAGTCTCTGAGACTATCGTTGCCATGCCGCCCTGGGTAGGGATAAATCGATATCGCGGCCGTCCCAACTCTGTCCAGTGTTCCGATTGTCCTCCTGTTGCTGTGGGGCGGCCTGGGCGGTCCGAACTCGGGCGGAGCCAGGATCTTCGCCGGCGGGTTCGAATACTAGACTAGTGACGTGTTGGCCTGCCAAGAATCTGTTCAGCGCACGATGCAGTGCTGATACCGGTGCATTAATACTGCATTCGACTGGCTGGCATGCTGTCAAGTCTTGTACAACTAACAAACACGTCGTTAGTTTTTTTCCTGATACTTGTAGCACTAGTAGTAGTAGTAGTCAGGCGAGGCAAGGCACCCAGGGAGTTGTCAACGCACGCTTGTTTACTCTTCACCAGCACTAGCGCCATCTGCCAGGCGCTGGGCGAGAGGGGGCACTTGGAGCCGCCCTTGCCTCCTCCTGAATGAAGCAATGCGTGTTTTGAGAGAATCTAAGCATACGGCGGACATTGCTTAATTCGGGGTGCGATGACTTCATACATACACATACATGTATGTACATGTGGAACCAATTTCAACCAACTGCCTGAGATGCCGTCATTGCTTTAGCGACGTTCACGCATACTGATAATCGCAGGGCTGGTGAATGT